GACAATAGATATTTGTATACCTAATTATTTGGCAATGTTACTCAACAATGGTTTAGAGTGAACAATATGTCGGTTTTCAATAAAATAGCCAATAAATCAGTTAACAGTTCAGCCATGAAATTGTGAGAGGAACTGACAGATTCCATTTCAAATTTGAATAAATTATTAGTGAGGATAAACATAAGCTTGTTAGTGTTGTATATATATAAACAGTAGTATTGTTTAAGTTTATTTGTCGACCTCAGATGGTTGTGGATTTAGTCCAGGCGCAATACAAACATTTGTATTCAAGCAGGTATGTGTTTGTGTTAATCTAAATATGTTTTTAATTTACAATATTTATATATTTAAAGGATATATGGGCATCAGTATACATATAGATCCCAAAGAATGTTCTAATTACTTGGGGATCAAAGATGCTAAGTGAAATTTTAAAATACTACTTAGATACAGAATACAAAATATTTGGCCCTATTTCACAAACTTACTTCAAGTAAACAAATAAACTTTACACTGTATAATTCTTCAATAAGTCTAGAATAATTTATTCTATGCAAATGGCAATGAAGATTCAGTTGCAGTATAAAAAGTGTCTTAGTTACATATAAAATGCATTGGTCCCAGACATTTCGTTAAAATAATAATTTTTAAATATTAATCATTTCTATAATATTTAAAGTATTGATACTATCATATCTCCCCCATACGTATATCTAAGATAATTAGACTTACATTACACCTAATTACAGATAGATGTTTTTTTATCATTCATAATTAAATTAGTTATGAAATGGAATTTTACCAACCACCATATTATCCACATAGTCTCTTGTCACTTATTTTAAATGAATAATTTCAATGGAAAAGTGCTGTTCCTTTTTGTAGAAAATTCATACTAATTATTACAGTAAATAGGTTTGTTTGGTACTCTGAAAGTTACAAAATAATAATAATAATTCAATAATTAAGAAATAGTAGTATTAGATATTTGAAGTTTTTATAAATAAAGAGATTTTTAGAATACCAAATCCAAGTTATAAGTTTTTTAATAACAATTGAAGTATTTTTAAAGGTTTTGAGTATATTTTTATGTATATAAATAATATTTATTTATATACATTTCTGATCTTATTTTAATATGTATTTTTGTAATTGATAGAGTATAGGCATCAATATTATACTAAGTTTATGTTGATTGTTAGTTTATTTAAGAAATATAAATTAACAATAAAGAATAATTTAACATATGTGCTGTATAATATGTCCAGGACTATTTTATCATCTACTAAAGCTTGTATATATAATATATATACAATAGAATGACTTTGAAAACTAACATAAATTTACATACATTTTAAGCAATGAGTAAAATGACCTAACCTAATCCCCTGTGGCATCTACTACCTTCATTACATTTTGGAATTGTTTTATTTCATTTCATAATAAAGATCTCATATTACAATGACAGTCCAAGATAAAAGTTATCTTGGACAATATGATGGACCAAAACTACATATGTGAATGAACAATAAAGCTTATACAAACTAATTCCTCAATCAATGTTAAAAAAATTGTGAGCGAGTTATGAAATTTTATACATATGTATTGTCTACTCTACTTTAAGTAATAGTATAGTAATCCCAATAATAAAATTGGGCCAGGTAAATGATGATATGTAATAGCTAACCCGACCAAAATAATATTGGTCGGGTTAGCTATTACAACTTACCTACTTGTGTTATCTAGTAGTATCTAGGGACAAGAATTGTTTGTAATGGGCTTAAACAGCTCCACTGATAGAAATATACCTATGCTATTAGGTTGACATTCATGTGATTCTCCCTGGAAACCATCATGATTTATTCTTATAGAATTCAGCACAATGGACTGACCTGCTTTCATCCTCACTTATCATCTCTCAGTAGTGCCCTGCCAGCATATATTGATAGCACAGATAGGGTTATCATTCCATTCTCACCCATTTAAAAAAACTTATGTTATCCATGCTAAATGCAATTAATCATAAATAGAACATTTCAAGTACTTAAGAACATTGTAAAGTCACCAAAAATGAAAGGTGATCTAAACAGTTGCTAATTAGTAATAGTAGTAACTCTATAATATAAAAAATATTTAAATTATTTATGTGACGGAAATGTGAAATAAAAATAATAATGATAACACAGCTATGATTAAACCTTTTGTTAGGTAGATAACAAACTTAGGTTGATAATACAACTGGTTCCAATTAAATATGATATTATTTTATTATTAATTTCAAATATACTATTAAATTGCATTATTTTTTTAGAAAATATTATTTTTTTTTAAATATGAAAGCTTTTGTGATGTGCCATCAGGTTGTTCATAGAGGAAAATAATGTTTTATTGACTATCAGAATGAAACACATTATAGTAATTCGGATATATCTAATTATCACAAAATAATTTATGAAAAATATTTTCTAACCAGTTTCTTTATTTATTCATAATCATGCATTAACCAAAGCTATTGTGGGTCAAATTTTCAAAGTTTTTGTGGGTAAAAATAATGAAAGTACAAAGCTGCCACAAGTAAAGTCCTTAAACACTCACCTCACTGAAGGCCATCACTCCGGCCGGAGCTCGTTCTCGGTCCGACCTTCTTAATTTATTTTACCACGGTCGATCAAAACAAATAGTTCACGCTTTTGTTTTTGAACATTGAAAACAGTCCCGACATATAGCATCCCCACGGCACAAATACATCTGAACTCTGTAACTTCACTCACTGCGCAAGAACAAAATTTTAATTTTGACTATAACGAAAACACCTGACCGAATCACAAATCACTGAAAAAACCAACATTCCTCAGGTGGGTTAGAAACACATCTAAATTAAAAGAACTACACCCATATTTTGAACACCTTCACTTCAAATTATAGGCTTTTTTAAGGATGCTGATATATTAAATCATTACGGAATAAGTTCGAAATATTATGACATTTAATGAGAGAATTATCACAGAGCACCATCAACCGGAGATGAACTCGCCATCTTGCTTCATTCATGTCATGTCATAACCAAAAATGCCAACATTCAAAACTAATTGAAGATAGAAACGTCACTGTATTCATGGTAGACAACATAATAAATTTCACTGGTTGCGTGAATCAATTGCGTGCGCATAATTCGTATATGTTCTTTTTGGTCCAAACTAAAATAAAGTAGATATGTTAATTACAATAATAATGCTGAAAAACAATCTATAAATAATGCTATGGTTTTTTCTACAAAATAAAATATTTTCCTATAAAGTGTACTGAAATGAAAATTATAGACCTAAACGATACCAAAAAATAGAAATAGTTTTATTTTTTGCAGCATTACATAAAATTATTGTATTTTATTTGTTTAATTATTTTTATAATTTGTCAAGTAACTATTACGATCACTAAAGAACATCGAACGAAACGCACTGCCATTGCTCAGTACTGCCGTGTTGTTTTGACTTCCGGCTAAATGTTTCATCATAGCGGTAAAATTAAAATTGAAGATAACAAGAAGTGAATTCTTATTGTAATTATTAGAACAAACTTTACCTAAAATTACCATTCATTATTGTGAGTAATTTTTCTTCCTGTATCTACAGGAACAAAAATAACGATATACTATTTGCTTTCTAAGAATCATAACGTATCAATCTTTCGTAAGTTTTACAGTTGTTATAATCGATCGAAGAGTGAAAATAAGACAAAGCTTACTGCGCAAGCTCTCGACCTACGTAAAATTACTTATTATTGCGCAAGACATATGATACTAGAATGATGCTTAACATACTTGCCGCTATATACATAAAAATTGTATACTTATCAACTCGAATCTTCTACTAATTTATTTAAGAACCTTAATAGGTCCATTCATTACTTTGACCTTTGGTAATGCCACAGTACGAAAATGGTCAGATCGTAAAATTTTGTAATAATGTTTTATGTCGATGACTTATAAACGTAGTCTGTTCTCATAATGATGTTGATAATATCATAAAATGCCAACGAACACCAGCAACAACATGTGATATATTTTTTTATGTAACTATCTATGTCCGTGGCTTTGTCTGCATTGGCACCAAAATAAAAAGTTTACTGTTTTTCACTACCCCAAAATCCGTGTGTATGCTAAATTTCATAACGAATGATAGAGCCGTTGAGGAGTCAAGAGGTGATTTGTAAAACTTGGAATACCTAACAAACCTACGGACTACCTGATAGATAATAATAATCATCGTGTTTATACACACAAACAGTACTGTCAACATCGCAGAATACACTAGAATGGTATTCCTCCTTGTTCATCATCATTCCTAAGAACTGTATTGGTATACCGCTGTACTCTGTAATTTCACTGCATAACCCCACCCTTTAAATCAAAACACAGCCAAGCTAGCACATCTGTTTTACGGCAGAAACACGAGTAGGATAGATATAGCTGATCATATAGATTTTAGAGATAATATTTAGAGGGGAGATTTTAGCCGGGTTATCCTACTCACCCCAGAATGATCTACACTCGATCGAGATGCGAGCAACACTTTACAAGAAAACTTTTGAGAGTACGATTTGATGGTTTGATGAGTCTTTTCGAAAAATCGAGGAATCTTTTTGAAAGATCTTAAGCTTTCGAATGCCATATCATTTTTATAATTGACATTTGTCGTTTTAGTAAAATCAATGCATATATGCGCCGTCAAGGGTTGAGTCGATTTAGTTGCTTGCGAGTGTATTATATAAAAATAATTGTAAAACTACAAAGGGTAATAAATGTATTTTCAATATTATTTTATTTTACAAGAATATAGTCAGTTGCCGAGAACGGCTAGACCTTAAATTATTACTCAAAACTAGAAAATGTATTAAGAAAAAATAGGACCTCTTTCATGTAATGATAGTGCTGTCTTACTATGATCTTAGGACGTCATTGTGCTACATTATAATGACATTGCACCTAAATTTGTCAAATGACTATTGCGGAACTGAATATGACAAAATAAATTTCTAGTTTACAAAATTACCAACAGCAGTTATCATCCATCATTTTCTATTAATGCTTTTGCGTTTGGTTTAACCTACATTTCTGAAACGACCTGGATACAAGAGGTAAGTGTAATTTTAGCTTATTAATTTCCGCGTGGATACCGGACGATTTACGGAGGACCTACCATGGTCGTGACGTCATTTGTACAGGTGCCAGGCAGTGATGCGCGCGGATACCTCGTTGATAACCAGGGTCCCTCAATATAGGTTAAGTTAAAGTAGGTTATTGCACTAGCGATTTATATTTAGATGGCCAGTTCATCATTGACTAGCGAACTGTGCACACGTATCCATGAGTTAGGCTCTGAAGATGTTAGTGACTGATCAGCAGGTCTGTTGCAGGATATCGGAGCACGATAAGCTGGGCCAATGGCTGTAACGATGGAATTGGTGGAGAGCGCGTCAGACTCAAAATTGCACAAAAATAGCGCAGCCAAGAAAGAGCTGCGCCCGTCGAGTGCTATTTCGCTCTCCAAGTCTGAACATGGTCCAGGTTCGTCACAAGCTTAAACATTTTTAGACCATAGAAGTGCAAATAAGCACACGGCCCACCTGATGGTAAGCGGTAACAGTAGCCAATGAACTGTTGGGTCACACTAGAACATGCCTTTTTTTAAATACTAACAAATCTTTGGTGTCTGACGATAACCTCAGTAGGTAGATATCAAATTGGCTGTCAATATATCAATCTACACTCTTCATGAATATAAAATAGTAATTATGAAGGTCAGATATGAAATATAAAATTTACGTAACTTCATTTGTCCTTGTCAGCTTAACACTCTTTACGTACCTGTACGTACGACACATGGTTGTATACAGAAAACAGAAAAAAATATAGATACATAATATAACATAGATTCTTTTTTATTCTAAAGACTATTATTTGAGATCGACTTTCAATTTAGTCTATAATTTTCACATTTTCTTTCCCTTAAGTAATATATTTTTGTATTTTTCTAATTGAACTGTCAAATCTTAAAATCATTAAACAAAATTTCTAATGTAAGCCGTATATTCATTTATTTTAACATTTATTATATAAGTAAGTAGGTATTATATGTATTTATAGTGTATATATTTATATAATATTTTGTTATATATTTTAATATTTTATTTAACTGTATATTTGTTTATGTATTAATAGTTGTAGCACTTCAGCTGCCCGCTAACGAAATGCTTTCTTACTGTACTGGGTTGACTGGAGGAGATCTCTGTCAGAAATAAGTCCACCCTTGCTCACAACATTTATAAATACATTATATGTAACTTACAAGTGCAATAAAGAATATATATATGAGTTAAAATTTGTATTCTGTTAAATAAACGTTTAAATGAATTTACAGTACAATCTTTATAGAATGATCACAGATTTTTTAGAAAAAAACTATTTCCACTAGATATTCCTTTGAGTATCTTCGTAGCGCAGGAACAACAACGTTACTCTGCGAGTCTTAAATGAACTTACTAAATTAACTCAGGTTTGAATGTTCTAGGTTGTATATACCCCCAATTTTTCGTTACATGGTTTCCCAATATGCATCGCAAGAACCAGACAATTAGTATTATTATATGTCGTTTATTAAATAATATCCAAATATTTATCTATATCACAAAAATAACGACCACTTCAGTTTCGCACGGATAAATAGATGATAGATGAATTACATAAAATACTATCTATGTTAACTATTCACTATTATTGTGGTTTCTATAGGTGAAAGAAATACACACTAAAATCTTTCCTATTAACAATATTTGTTTAGATAGATTATATCCACCCTTTTTTACATATTTAGTAATAGAACTCGCAATAAATTTTTAAAACAAAAGTTACATTAGTATTAAAAAAAATAACCTCGTAACAGAAATCACAAATTCCACTGAACAACTGAGACAGTACAAGAGCTGGGTAAGCAATGAACGATGGAATGAGTTGCGGAAGATAGCAGATAACGCCATGAAGGAACGAAAAGTGTTCATGATCAAGGGCGGCGGATTCCCTGCCATACGTAGAGCTCTCCTAGAAAGGGGCTGGATTGAAAAATATGAGTCCCATAAGGTAAAATAAATGAATAATATAAATTTTTAAGTTCTTTATTAAATTCATTCAAAATTGAAGCTTCACTATCGCTATTACTTTACGGTAGCGGACTGTGGGTGTATCAATATACTTCATACCTCATAATTAACCATATAAGTTATATAATTTATTTCATGTATTCATATTATACATATAATTATATAGCGTCATATAAATTAACATTATTATTATTATATTATAATTATAACTGTCCACGGCCTTCCATATAAAGAGGATTTCGCCAGTAGTTGCCATGCTTGGCATGCTTTGCAGGTTGACAACCGCAGTAATTAATATATCCTAAGCACGCTTAGAGATAAAAAAGCTTAATATTAGCTGATAATATATTAAGATTGGAAAAATAAGCAAAATATATGTATGAAAAGGATGTTTTTAGAAATAAGTATCTATTATACCCACAAATATTGACCAATAATAATAATTTAACTATAAACAATCATTATTGAAATTAGATATTAGCTAAATCAGATAAATTAAATAAGGTTCGTGGCATCCAAAATGCACGCTATCTACGGACGCTTAAAATAAACAACGTACTAAATACTGTCGTAAAAAGTTCGATCTCTCCGTGATAGAACACGAAATTTAATTGCTATTTATTCACTAAATACCGTTATCTATAGGAATGGTGCGCTTTCTCTGCTATTAAACAATTTTAGGTTCGTCATCCACCCACAAACGTAGACCCGTTGAGAGTAAGCGGAAAAGAGCTTTCCAAAGTCGAAAGAATGATCCTGTACAAATTCATGGAACACCATTCGGTCGACTTTCTCTGGACGACGAAGAGAGACAAATATGACTGGTTGCTTAGTAACAAGGATGTCATTATAAGCAGGTACTACTGTAATTTTATCTCATTAGACTTATTTTTTCATTGACAAAGTCGCCTGCAAAGCTACCTCGGTGACTCGATCCCACTCGTACATCTTCACATGGTTACGTGTTTATATGGCTATGTTTCGGTTTGAGGGGAGATATGGCTGGGAAATTACTGGCTAAAGAACCATAATTAGTATCAGTGAGAGAGCTCAATAGAGACGCCTACCATAAGTATCATTATATATTTAGTCTTGTTCATGGCACTATTCGTGTCTTATATACGATGACATTCAGCTTGTTTGTAGTTTGCATTATAAATTGTATAAAAAAATCTTCTACAGATTTTGCAGATCGATTTTCACAACCAAAGAAGGCTTGACTGCTTCACTGACTCAAATGCACTGGTATACGGAACCGGGTGTAGCACTTACAAAATTTCCGCGTTGCTACAATATCTACAATTCGGATAGCCTCGAGGAGTTTGTCGATGATTTTCGAATCACGGCTTGCATCAGCATCCTAAAATGGCTATCTAACACGTTGCAAAGCAACGGTGAACAAAGTCTCGTTTCAAACCAAGGCAAGGTTCCTTTTACAGCAATAGAGTTCGCTATATGCAGATTAAACGAATACGTTTCGTTTTTTACTCATAAGGACATAGACGACTCTGAGGATCAAACACATGTGTGGGAACACGAATGGGATCAATTTTTGACACATCATTATTTATTGGTGCACGAGAAAGCTAAGTTTATGGAGGACAAAAATATAAATATAAGGTAAGTAGATAAATGTAGCTTTTACTTTTCCATTATATAGTAGATTTATTAAACAATGCAGAAACGTACTGTCTGTGAAGTTGGTAGTTTCCAGAAGAGATACGCATGCATAAGACGAAATAATTGAGACGAAATTAAAACATTTACATGAAGACAGAGACTGTAGACTTCTCCTAGCTTAATTTTCTAGGTATTTATTTGAAGTTAAATTTCAGATTCCATCTATCTAGATCATCTATCTTCATATCAAATTTATATGTTAACATACATTGCTCTCTCAATTTTGTCTACGTAGATATAATTTATAAACATATGTGTCAGCGTGTCTAAAATGAGATCACTGTTTGGATTAATGTGCTCACTGCATGTGAATGATATCGGTATTAGTTAATTATCAATGTACATTATTATTCATTGCAATTTAAATGCAGTAATTTAGTGTAAAACATGTAAGTGGTTAAAATATTGTCACACGTACCTTATAAGTTTTTCTCATAAATAGACTCGTCGGTTTCAATAAATATGATTACGACTTTTCTAGGAGAGACAGCGTTTTGTCGCCATACTATGTACCAACTTCAAACAATACAGTTTCTGCTGTCCATGATACATATATACCTATAACAAGAATTTGATACATAATATCAGAAAGTATTCTACCAGTTCTTCTATTGAAAGTGAATATATTTTCCAAAGAAACGTTGGTTTGATATTGACGCTTACAGCTATCAAATTAATATAGGAGGCTCTGAATGTTTCTTTGAACTATTCATTTTCACTTGGAACATTCCCTTAAGAATGCTAATAAGTTTGATTTCACCCTGTATAACTTTAGGCAATTGGAAAAAAAAGCAGCCAAAGTGTTAGCTACGATGACGAAATTCTGGCCTCAAATCGATATCGACGGAGTTCTAAACATATGGATCGTGAAGCCGAGCAACAAGTGCCGCGGCCGTGGCATCCAGCTCATGAACAATATAAAAGACATTATAGGTCTTATTAACGTACCTGCTCAAAAAACCAGATACGTCGTACAGAAATATATTGGTAATACTGGATCGTTATATTAACAAAAAACATCTTATTTGCTATGCACTTTAATAATAATATAAAAAATTGTCTTTCAGAAAATCCACTTGTGATATATGATACGAAATTTGATATACGCCAATGGTTTCTTATAACGAATTGTCAGCCTCTTACAATTTGGGTTTACAAGTAAGAATCAATCAAGTATATATTACAATATCTATACATATGCTATATAATTGGCGTTTCTTCTATTTCAGAGACAGTTATTTGAGGTTCAGCTCTCAAATATTCAGTTTATCAAATTACCACGAGTCCGTACATCTCACAAACAACGCAGTACAAACCAAATATAAAAATAACGGTGAACGTGATAAAGCACTGCCTGATGAAAATATGTGGGATTGTCACACATTCAAAGCATATCTCAGGTAAAAATTATATGCATGAACATATATTCCACCTGAAATTTATGTAAATATTAAAAATGTATTCAATCTTTGAAGACAGATAGGAAAGTATGAAATGTGGGATACAAAAATCTATCCTGGGATGAAACAGTGCTTAATAGGAGCCATGCTAGCCTGTCAGGAAGGCATGGACAAGAGGCAAAACAGCTTCGAGCTGTATGGAGCTGACTTCATGCTAACAGAAGACTTCACACCGTGGCTTATTGAGATTAACTCAAGTCCTGACCTGGCTCCAACAACTTCAGTCACGGCACGATTATGTCCTCAGTGTCTGGAAGATGTTGTAAAAGGTAAATTTTATTTTAGCAAGCCGATCTTTTTTATTTTATAATTGCTAATACCTTCTTTGGATTTCAGTCGTACTCGATCGCCGACAAAATCCTGACGCTGACACAGGAATATTTGAATTAGCCTATAGACAAACAATTCCAAAAGCGCCGGCCTATTTAGGATTATCTTTATGTATAAATGGCAAGAAACTAATTAGGAAGACGAAAGAACGCAGACATGAACCGAGAATATGTAGTACCCCACTCGCACCTCAACTGCCATCAGGTGACACTGTTCCCGAAGATCAACCAGTTCCAGCCGAATACAGTGGACCCATCATCTCTGACTTCCTTACATGGTTGAACCCTTACAATGCATTGCCAACCAATAAAGACGGCCTTATTTTAGGACCGAAGGATTCACTTACGGTACGCCAAGCGATTACAGTAGTAAAATCCGGTCTTTCGCTAAAATCCGGTTCAAAAAAACGTAAAACATCCGCACTCTCTTTTAGGACACATCGAGGAAAACGAGAAAGAAATACAGATTGTAGGCGCCGTGTCGTCCCACATTCGTGCTATCGACCTGACGAGGAGCAACCCGAAAATCATACTCGTAAATATCGGACCGAATCAGCTAATAAAGCAGAGAAACCTAAGGTAGAAAGATCGGTCGGCAATAAAAGGTGCTATATAGACCCCATAGAATGGGAAAGAGAGACAGCTAGTATTCTCAGATCGACAATATCTGTTCAAAATAAAATAGCGAATAGAAACGATAACAGTATTGCTCCGCTACGACAAACTAAATCAGGTATATTAGGCTATCACCAGAAACCTTTGGGATCATACAATTCGCGAAAGGGCTTAAACGATACGGATGCTATAAAAAAATTGAGTGCAATCGGTAGGAACATTTGCAAACTGAGAGATGAACATAAAGCTCAACAAAAGGGTATTACTGTTTCAAAAAGTTGTTCATCTATTTATGCGCCATATCGTGTTGTAGTAACACCTTTAAATGACGAGTCTCAGAATCTACAAAATTCGTTAATGAAACGTAAAAAATAATCGAGGTACTTAAAATCTTGTCCCAAAAATGTTGGTGTTCAATTATATGTTAACGCTTCTTATAAACTATACTGTGATTCCATATTAGAATATATGTTTTGTCGATAGTATATAATCTCAAGGAGCTATTAAAGTACTAAAAATTTCCTATAATAATTACTTAAAAAATTGACACGGTTTATTTGAATATTTACTAGTTTAAACTACATATCTAATCGTTATTTATGATAACATAAATATTGTCGATAAATTTGATCATTATCGTTTCGAAACTTGTTATAGATGATAATATTTTCTTGCTAAATATTGTTGATTGAAATCTAAAATTCTATGATACCAAATAAAAGTACTGTTTATATTGTTTTTTCAATTTTTCAGTTCCCGAAACCCGGATCCTTTTTCCAAAATCCCGAGGTGATGAACATTACAGCGCTTAAATCTCTATGAGGTTTTTTGGTTTATTTTTCCTTTTTATTATTGTGACAGAAAGTCTAGTAAGTAGTAAAATGTCATCAATATAAATGTCAAATTTACTCATACCAAAATGGGCTGTACCTAATATAAAAATATTAAATAAATAGTTGATAACAATGTTTCTATTCTATTATAAGGTAAACTAATCTTTATCCTCTTAATATAAAATAATAAGATTCAAAGACATCTATCCAAAATGTAATCTTACTTTCAGTTTATTTCAAGAATAGCAAAATCACTTACACAACTATTTGTTATTTCTACATTACATACAGTGTAGAATCTTTCAATACAATCTATAAACAATTAAAGCAAACCCATGATTTTTTCGACGAATAATAATTATCATGCTTTTCTTAATAGATGACAATACTAATTATTATAACAATTGAACCATTTTTTTCTTGATCCAAAGAAATTAATGATAGTGCTATGTTATGACAATACGATTACAAAAATACATAAAACATACATTCCGATTATGAACATCAATAAAATCGTAGTTATTCGATTGATACAATTATTTGGTTTGTGATTCAATAACCACAAACTTTTACCGATGATATTGTCGCTTGATCGGGAAAAATAGTAGCCTATGTGTGTTCTTATCCATCCCATATAATACGTGCATACCAAATTTTATGATTACCTATCAGTGAAACAGAAGTAACAAACTACTTACTTTCACATTTATAAAATTAGTAAAAATTTAAATTACCTAATTATAATTAAATATTACTATCTACGTAACATTTTAAATAGTCGCCACGTCAGTTAATACTTATATAAAAATTCTTATTGCTTATCATTATGTTTAAAGGTATCATTGAAATTTAAACAAGTGAAATAATGCCATTACAATGCTAAATAAAAAAACAAAACTTACAAGAAAGAAAAAGGTAACTATATATTGTACAACATAGTCTTATATACAAATCCCATGTTCGTTTATGCTAATCTTATTTTTATCAGATGAGATTGTTGTCAATCGCAAGACCATTGAATAAACCGCTTAACCGACTTTAATAAAACTTTGTAAATGTATATTTTTGCTCCAACTTGATAGATAAGTCATTTTTTATACCGGTAGGAAAATATGGATCCGGTATATGAAGGTATATGGTACTGGGTACAGAGGAATAACACCAGAGTCCTCAGAAATGGCAACGCATGGGAGATATCATGGGCGAAACAGTATATTCTGTTATGTCCATGGTACTGCTCATGTCTATAGACGACGGTTACCACTTTCCATCATGTGGGCTGTCAGCTTGTTTGCTATTCTAATATGTATAAAAAAAAGAACGTTTTCCTGGTCACCTAATAATATTTTACTATTCATACTTAGTCATAAATTTTATTTACAGAAAAGTGTAAACAGTAATTCCATTCCTAAAAAACGATCCAAGCATGAGAGATATGAAGATATAATTGGCGCTTCTCCATTAAAACTAAATAATAGACCATATTTTTCATGCAAAGTAATTTTATTCTTATTTTTCTAATTTGTATAATGTATCAATCATATTGCATTAATACCTATATATTAAAAGAAATACAATAATTGCAGAAATCAAATGCGAACAAATATGACAATGGACGTCTCCAAAGAATATTTTCCTCTTTTAACAAACTTGCTAACAACTCGACGCGTATAGGTGATAAACAGAAAATAAATAAGACTGCTTATCAAAATATGTATCGCTCTACTGGTCTCTCACCAAAAGAAAAAAGCTATATAATATGCAGCTGCCAAAGTAGGTCCACTAGATATATAAAACTCAAAACCCATGCATCTAATGCTATTAAAGAAAACAAAATATTTTCTATTTACGGAAGTTGTAACGCAGTACGCAATGCATTGTTAGAAAGAGGATGGGTAGAAAAAATTCAACCGTATAGAATGAATTTGTCTAAAATACGGAATGGAACGTTTTCGAATCAGCCTCAAATTCATAGAGAACTAGAAAAATTGCTTCTATCGAATTTAATAGAAAAATATAATCCAAATTTTATATGGCGAACAAAAGATGAACCTTGTGATACTACTATAGATATGACAAATGGCTGCAATACAATTGTCAATAAATTAAAAATTGACGCTTTGTGGACTACTAAACAAGGTCTTTGTTCTTCCATGAAAAGAAATTATTGGTTTTACGTTGAAGACGTCGCTGAAGTTAATGGTCCGAGAACATACAATAGCTACGAAGTTGGTGAAATGGAAGGATTTATCAAAGACTACAAAATTACTGCATGCACTAGCTTATTAAAATGGATACTCTCAATGATTGCTAACGAGAGACCAATATTTATTAATTCGGGGAAAATTTCCATTAACGTTGTCGTATTTGCGTTAAATAGATGCAAAGAATATTTATTCCGAAAGCAAAATAAAGATATAGACCATGCGTTGACCACTGTCGGTACAAGACACTGGAATGCATTCTTAAAAAAATATTACCGCATAATTGCTAAAGATGATGTTTTCCAAGCAGACAGTGAAAATAAACTGCCGCTCTATTTGGGATACGCAAATTTTTTACTCAAGGAAATTTATAAATATCGACCGCAGCTGAATTGTGAAGGTTGTCATAATATTTGGATCATAAAGCCAGCACACTGCTCAAGAGGTAGAGGTATAAGAATGGCTTCCAAATTAGGGGTTATTACAAACTTATTGAATAAAGCTAATGCTAAACATGTAATCCAAAAATATATCGGTAAGTAATAAACGTTAGTGAATATTAATATTATATAATTTAAATTAGATATTCATTTATTTAACTTTATTTACAGAAGAGCCTTTACTGATTTACGATACAAAATTTGATATCAGACAATATTACCTCGTAACAAGCACTTATCCTTTAATAATATGGATGTACACAGATTGCTATCTAAAGTTTAGTTCCCAAAAATACAGTCTAAAAAATTATCACGAATCGATACATCTAACAAATAACGCAGTCCAAAGAAAATACAAAAATTGTGTTGGAAGACATTTCGATCTTCCCCAGAGTAATATGTGGGATTTGGAAAAATATAAGGAATATTTAAATAAATGTGGTAAAAGTAAAGTATGGGATAACATAATATATCCAGGTATGAAGAAGTCAATTGTTGCTATTATGCTTAGCTGTCAAGATTCTTTATCAATCAGTAAGAATCGTTTTGAACTATATGGATGCGATTTCATCCTCGACAAGGAATATAAGCCATGGCTAATCGAGATCAATTCATGTCCGGATCTAAATCTTACAACTCAAGTTACAGCAAAAATATGTCCTGCTGTTGTTTCCGATATCATAAAAGGTGAGTCTGAAAAGTACGATTAAATAAATAGTATTAATACACTAAAAGATAGGGATGATATTTATAACCACAGATGCTTTGCCAGGCGTACTGCATCCGATTTTTAGTATCATTAATCCCATAACCTGCTGTTAACACCCGATGTTTAAGGTCCCGTGTATTTCCTTACAAACGACTGCGCATTGTGCTATACTTTAAATTTAATAATATTTTCTCGTATACAACAACTTTTAAATATTATTTCTATTTTTTCCTTATAGTATTTACAGGATAGTATTTGCATTAGATTATTATAGATGAACCTGTGCTTATACCAGAGGGAAGCTTTGTACAAAAGTCATCTTCTGTACAAAAGGCACTTCTGTTCCACTCGTGTTTCGGTTTGAAGAGTGGGATATGGCAATGAAATTATAGGGCACAGAGGTATAAATAACACCTTAGTTTTCAGGAATGGCAACACATGAAGGCTATCATGAGCGACACATTATGCTCTATTATTTTCATGGTACTGTTCATGTCTATAGGTAACGGTTACCACTTTTCATCTAGTGGACTAAAAAAAACAGTTAGATTACATCTATATTAAATAATTTACTTGAAATTGTATAAAGCTCAAGTCAGACCACATATGGAATACTGTTTTCACCTATGGGCAGGAACGCCACAGTAGCAGCTCCTTTTATTAGACCGCATTCAAAGTCGGACCACTCGAATTATTGACAATCAGCGTCTTACTGTCCGACTTAACCCACTGAAACTGCGTAGAGTATTGTCGTATCTCTGTCCATCTTCTACCGAATTTATCATGGGGAGTGCTCTGAGAAATTGTTCGGATTGATACCTGCTGCTGATTTTTACCACCGTAAAACCTGCCACAAACTAAAGTTTCTTCCCAACCATTTGGATGAGTGGCGGTCTTTCACGGTTCGTTTTTTAAGGCACTTTCTTTCATGGACAACCACTCTTTGGAATCAACTTCCAGCAGCAGTATTTCCGAACTGATATGACATTATAACCTTCAAGAAAAGAGCATATTCCTTTTTAAATTCCTTTGTGGGTGATAATTTGCGGCGGTAGTCACTTACAATCAAATGAGCCGCATGCTCGGTTGCCCCTGTGTTATAAAAAAATTATATCATTACAGTGGTCATTGATTATGCTGGAAATCCCAAATCGTCAACTGGAAAATTTGAGTGTATATATCGCCAACCTATGACTATACCGCGGTATGGAAGTGCTGCTGATTTGTTTGTACGGGGTTATGGATTACCATTAGAATATTTCTATAAGGGCCATATAGAAATAAATGAGATATTTGAAAACTCCGACATTGGAAAAGATCAAGACTTTAAAGCTGTACTTATTAAATTAAAGCAACGCTATGATACTAATATAATTGTGGAACCCGAAGACGAATATGATTCGAGCTAAAAATTACAACAAGAAACAAGCATTCACAATACGCAATCTGAAAATGAACTGTATGTAGCTGCAAATGTAATGACTGAACAATTAGATGAACTGATGGATAGGATCACTTTAGAAAATAGTGCCAGTTCAAAATCAGGTCAAAAGATTATGTCATCTCATTTCTATAAGAAATCTTTAAGTCCTCTTCAAAGTGCTAAGACTGTTACTGATATAAATTCATTACTACGAAAATCAATTAGTCGTTTTGCTTCAGTCGAACCTATCGATCTAAAGAAATTTAGTTTCAGCAAATTAGATGATGGCTCACTGGGCAAAGCAAGTTATTGCGAATTAAATCCAATCAAAACAGTATTTGACAATGTTTCATCTAAAATGACAAGTATGAATACTTATTCGATTTCGCAGTCAAACAAAAGGGTTAATAAAGCACAAAAATCAGAATATGATGTGAATCAACCGGCTTACAAAATTGTTTCTTTTATAAATAAAAAAGAAAGGGAATATTGCAGTGAACTCCTAATTAGAGACAAAAGATTTTATTAAAGTATTACGTACAATGAAGTGTATTTTTTATACATGACCTTGCCTACATTAAGAATTTAAATTATTGTATTATAAGTAATATAGGTACCTTATCTGCCTTGTGATTCAAAAATTAAGTATCCATGCGGCGCCCCCTGGAAACCATTTAACTGACCTGCCTTATTCTCACCTATAATCCCTCACTGGTGCGCCGCCAGCGTACACAGGCGGGATTATCATTCCATTTTCATCCATTAAAAATACCTTAGACTTGATAATGTTTAGCAATGCATGTGACAGTCATGGGAGTCACAGTGTATTCTGTAATATCCTTGACGCTGAACATATCTATGGACAACGATAACTACTTCATTCTAGTAGACAGTCATTCCAAGTTCCATTTAAAAAACTGTTCGAATTGTGATAAGTATACTGGTTAATGAAACTATTAATATTTTTATTGCAAGATAATTTACCCAATCACCATTATGATTTATGTAAATTCTTTTAGGTAGGGTAGATTTCCTTAGAGTATACAAATGCGCCTTATTGGTACAGGGTACATACAGTACTACAATTACTACTAGGACGTACGGCCAAACCAACCCTTTAGGAAAAAAATCGTACATTTTATGCTTTACAAATTATTCAAAAGTAAATATTATAAACATATAAATTGGCATTATTATATCATACAAACCGGAAGTTTACAAATTCCACTGAAGTTTGTACGAATGAATTTAAAAAAAAAATATTCGTTCGGATATTATAGTAAATGATGCGATACTTATTTTATTTATATTAAAATTAAATAAATGAATTATAAATAAATTGTAAATCAACTTTCTAACTAGAACTTAGGACTAAAATATATTAATAACAAGATGAGACACACACATGTTAAATTTAAATACTTTTAAAGCTCCAAGTTACTGATGATGATAATGAAGTTTGTTTTTAGATTAATTGTTATTGATTTCGGTATTATATGTTTAATAAAATAAAATAATAATATAAAAGGTTCTTTTTTTATAAGTAAGTCATACATATTCTATCTTAGATATTGATAATGTATCTGATTGCAAACGATGATGGCCGCATCGTTGTCATTGTCACATTGAGCGTTATCGAGTTTATTTTGCACATATTATTGATATATTTTACTTTTTAATAATATAGAATATAATTGAACAATGGGTCGATCGAGGTCACGAAGTAAATCACCACGACGGCATCACAAAAGCAGTAAACATTCTAGAAAGAAGAGTAGATCTAAGGATCGTTCTTCATCACGCAGCAGGAACTCAAAACATGCCGAAAAATCTAGGGAGCGAAGCTCCAAGTCTAGGTAGTATATATCTGTTTTTATTCTTTTGTTGCAATCCTTACTTCGAGTATTTTAGGAATGTAGTACTTAATTTTTTATATGTTTTTAGGAAAAGATCTCATTCGGTATCATCGTCAAGCAGTACTGATGCCTCAGTAGACGGGAGTAGAAATAATAGAAAAAAATCCAAAGGACGCAGCAAAATGGATGAAGTGGACCGGTTAGCTGAAATGGAAAGACAGAGACGTGTGAGGGAGGCTGAACAAAAGGTAATTTGTTTGCTAGTTACTCTATCTGAGTCATAGAATGTTTTATTTGCTTTTCTAATTAATTTAGTTATATTAAAAATAATAATTGTTTTTTATATGTTATATTAATATTTTATTTATTTATTATATAAAGAATATATTAAGTATTTGATTGGTAGAGAATACCATCCAGTGTCAAGTCTGTCATACAGTATATAGTAAAATGTACATACATTTTCACTGTCATGTAAAATGTATTTACTTTGCTTATTTATTTAATCTTTAATGCAGCACTTAAAAAATAATGTGAATATATACACAGGACAGCAAATAAACTGGGCCATCTGCTACTTTTGAACTCTAATCCGATTTACTCAAAAAAAAAATATATATATATATATATACCTAAACTATTCAACTACTTATTTTTTGACACTATATTTCTTTCATTTATAAGCATGATGAAAAATAAAAAAAATCATTTTTTTTTTCATAAAAGATATCACTTCATAAACAAGCTGGTAAGCTGCTGTTGTGGCTTGTAAATGTATATTTCTGTCTAATTAATGTGCTCTTTTCTTGTAGACTTTATTTGTAGTCCAGCTTATTGACAAATACATGTACTGTTTCTAATGTTCTGAAATTATGCTACTAAGTGACTCCAAGTTTAGGATAATATTCTCTTAAATAAATAATGTTATGAAGTGTAAATAAAATGTCTTATATAAAAGTGTATCAACATTTTTTAAATATCAGTGATATATTATTGTATCTATAATTTACTTACAATTTTTGAGTTGTTTTAGTAATTTGTGTTATAGTAAAATTTTTCAGTATGTTTAATAAACGATGTGAGGTACAATAAAACAGTTTACATTTTTAATAACAATAAATATTTGAATGAATACAGGTTGTTGAAGAAGAAGCAGCAAAACGTATAGAACTTCTTGTGAAAAAGCGTGTTGAAGAAGAACTGGAGAAAAGGAAGGATGAAATAGAACAAGAAGTGGCAAAACGTGTAGAAGAAGCCAAGAGGAAGATGGAAAAGGAAATGATGGAGGAGCTGGAACGGCAACGGGAACAACAGCGACGAGAGGAGGCTGCTCGACAGGTAACTGCCCTATCCACCCACCAGTCATATGCAACGGCAATACTAATAATTACTTTTGCATATGACAAATCCTACCCCATGAGAGCAGTAATTGTTCTCTCATCTAATAAAGATTGTGAATGTAAAAATTCTATGTTTAAATACATACAACATAATATACTAGAGTAACTAATAAAAGTATTATTTCGATCATATCTGTTAAAGGTCCAGTCAGGTGTAGCTCGAGTGCTTACAGGAATTTTATTAATAAATTCTTTACAATTGTCACTCATTAAGGCAGAACCCTCCAATACTTTAATTGACATTCCCAAATAACAGTAACATGTCGTTCACACTGACAAAGCAGAATGTCTTGGTCTATACCACTTTACTGTATTGCCGTGAAGGCGACCGGCTAGCATTTTAAAATTGTTCGCTTGACTGTCCTTGGCAGTCACGTAGTCTATAAGTCAGGTCAGAAGACTGATCAAGAGCAAGAAGCTGTAAGAATTTTATGGAGACGCTGCTTGAGGACCCTCTCGTGAATGCTGAAGGTATTTCTTGAATATATTTTTTGTAAAACAATATTTTCTGTTTTATACTAGGTCACATAGTCACATTGTAAACAGGGGGTGTTAAAAACGTGAATATTTCTTTACACGAATCATTATATGATTAATTTTGTGTACCCAGCTGAGTTTGATAGGCATCAACACTAAGGGTTTAATATTAATGGATAAATACTCTTTCACCGGCGGGCTATGCGAAATGAATTGTATTATGATTCATATAAAGTAGATTTTAAATCCTTCCATTGCTACAGTAGACCTATTTACTGTACACACAAAACTTTTTTACTACATCCTGAAAATTTCTCTGATATAATAATACGTCAACTAAATTTAATGTTTCATACTTCTATATCATTTAAATAATGAAACTGGACATTAATAATTACTTTAAAAATGTAAAAATATATGTGAAAGAAGTTTGACACGTATTGTATTTGATTTATGTTGATATCTGCAGTTACATTAATATTTTGTTTGTGTGTTATGTCAACTCAATTAACATGATTTTTTTATTAAACAGGAGGAAGAAGCACGTAAAAGGAAAGAATTGGAGGAAATCATGGCTGAAAATAATAAAAAGATCGAGGAAGCCCAGCGTAAGCTGGTAAGTATAGTTTTTAGGTACTTTTATGACACAAACAGTAAAGAATTTAGCAACAAGCTTATGAGCTTGTTGCTAAATTCCTATGTTATATAAAATTATATAAATTATTATTATATTCTTATGTTATGATGTTATATAAAAGTACAATAAATTAAGACTTTGTGCAAGTCCTCTTATGTGTTTGTACTGTAAAACAACTGTGCATGATTGTTTTAATTTGAAGTTAGATTTTTTTTTTTATTTATTTTATTTGAAGGGTGGGATATAGGATAGATATGTAAGGTATGGCTACAATGCTATAAGAACATATTTCGTAGGAATAGCATCATATGACTTGTACTATGGGTGTGACAGTAAGTTCTGTAGTATCCATGGTGATGGTCAAGTCATTACCATTTTGAATCAGGTGAAATATCAACTTGTATGCTCTACTCTGATATACAGCAAATTTCATTATATTCATTTTCTACTGTATGGCCATTAAAAATCTTATATTTTTCATTTACTAGGCTGAGGAGCGGTTAGCAATGATCGAAGAACAAAGAAAAATGGATGAGGAAAGACAGAAATTGAAGAAAGAACAAGAGAAAAGAATTAAAGAAGAACAAAAGAAGATATTAGGGAAAAATAACTCAAGACCCAAATTGTCATTCTCTTTAAAGCCACTGTCATGAGTACTTATAATAATTACAGTGTGCAATAGAATAGAAATGAGAACTATGGGATTACTCAATAGTATAGTTTTTATTTATAAACCTTTACAAATTTCATTGCCGGGTCTATTAACTGTAACATTAATTATAACAACTGTACATCATATTACATCTAATTGGTTGTCATTATTCATTCTAAAATATTTTTTTAATATTACTTTGCATGTCTAAAATGTCAGTGTTTGAAATTTAATTATATAGTCATATGTAATACTGATTGCTACTTAGCTGGCTTGACTCTAATTGAAAACCGTCGTCCCGATTAATTGTAATCTAAAGAGCGTTAAAATAACTATCTCATATGGGTCGGTTAAATAAGAGTTATTTCAAGAAATTAATTTTTATTTGTATATGTAATGTATAGTAATAATTTATATTACATAGATTTTTCAGTCTATTACAGCAAATGGATTTTAATCCAATTCTATCTGCTAGTCTCAATACGCTCAATTTTTTTTTGTATATTTTGTTAAATATGAAACATCTGAATAGACTATATTCTACTTTTTGCACGTATCTTTACGTAAGTTTCATTGTACGAGTAAATAGACTATAGAAAATCTAATATCCAGCATTCATCTAGGATAATTATATCTATGTGCATAGCTTGATTCAAATCCTAAATGGAAATTTGTTGTTGCTATTTATATATATAGAGATGAGTCGTCATATCGACATGTCATATATATACTCGTAGATGACTATATAACATACAAATTCACTAATTTCAATACAGCTGGGGTTAGTTTAAAATTTTCATTTGCACATTATTGTAATACTCTTTATCTGTGGTTATCTTCACGCCATATTTCTAACGAGATAGGCTCTTGTAATTTTTTTTTATTTATAAACGAACATAAATATAGGTTTAACTAAACAGAGACTTGTACATATATAGTTAGATATTTAAGTTTGATTTTACTCGGTAATTCGTGGTCTTTCATGAAACAAATGACCTTGTATGACGTTCTTATGTAAATTGTAATGTTTAATGATTACTCTGTAGCAAATAAATGCAATAATATTAAGTTATTATGTAAATATTTGCAATAAGTGACTTAGATTAGAAATCATTTTCTCAGCAACATTTTTTTAAACTTGTTAAACTATTTATACGGATTATACATGTAGATGAAAACTACAATTGAGTCATTCCTTTGTAATCAATTAATAAAATATATGTATTTATCATATTAATAGTTCAGAACTTTCTTAAAATCTATGGTGGACATTATGTTAGATACCTTTCATTTCTCTGACATTGGATATATTGTAGTACTAAAAACATTTAACTGCTAACAACTTGTGACCTTACTACAGTAATTTTCGGCAATTATAAATGTTTAATCGATAAAAAATATTTATTAAAATAATTAGTACAAGTGAAAAATTTTTTAGCTTGAAATTGAATTAAGTATATTATTGGTTAATAATAAGAGGTTTGTATTGATATTTGTATACATAATGTTCTGATTCTGTTTGTGGGTTTGAACACAGTATTATAATATGTATATCTACCTTCACACCCGGTCCCTTGGGTGCTGGACAGAGAAAACAGTCACATACATATTGTTTTCATTAACGTCATTGCGTATAATTAGATATTAAACACGGAATATAACTGTTTAATATCTAATTCTATATCTAATAAATAATTGTTCATTTTTACCTCGCCTCCGACAATCACACTTATCTAATATCCAGCCGTAATACTAGTATGGTGTTTATATATATAATATGTTACTGATATGGTAAACAAAACATAGTTATGGGAAATGATTATCTTAGCTATAGATTAATTACGTGCATTTTCTCAAGCATGAAGAAACAGATTGCCACCTTTTTTTGTAGAACTCCATGCGGTAGTTTTATAAGAAACTAGCAGGGAGCTCATTCCAAAACCTGATCATCTATGGGAAAGAATCTACACCCATTTAGTTAATAAGCTATATTGAGGTGAAGCTTTTGTATGGTAGCTGGTGATTGTGACCGATAAACGCGAGTTTTGTTTAATTAAAAAAATAATTTGCAAATAAATTATTTGTATGAAATAACAATTTCTAAGTACAAATTTAACAGTTGCCTTAGTTACACTTGTTACAGTTGTGGCAAATTATTGATAATTTAGGCTTGTCTTATGTAAATATAAAAATACGAATTGTGTATTTAATTAGTAAGCATAACTAAATTACTTTATCATGTTGCGAGTTTAAAATTACATTTCATGATAATATATCTATAACAAACAATATTTAAAAAACTTAAAATGGCCGAGTATTATCAAGTAAACCAGTATTTTGTGTTAATATTTACAAACACCATATCTTCGTTCAAATGTTTTCATTTCAATATTAATACATATGTCTCAATCTTCGTGGCACATAAAAATGTTACTTTTGACTAACATTTAGAGCTTATGTTTGTATGAGGTGTAGTTAAAAAGACGGATAAAATTAAGTTGTTTTGTATTACCTAATGGGTCCTCTTTGCTAATAATTCCAATGTCATGATAAAATATTGTAAAAAAATATTTTTAAATCTTAATACATGATTTTTAAATATTATATTCAATACTTCATTAATCAACTAAACTAGACATTTGTGCAAAGTTAATTAGTTAATGAAAATGTCTGCAGCGGTGATCATGTGTTTTCAATCTGTATATTGCCGTCAAAGTTTCACAGGATTATGCGATTTTGCAGTTCTATTGACTAAAAGACTATATATCTATCGGTCTGCTACAATATTTACTTATTATGCAAAAATTTAACCTTTAACCATCGGAAGATAAAGTGGTATACCTTATAGGTATGGCCTTGTATTTTGGCGTCTTGAAGGTTATTTTCCAGAGGGGCCTGGCACCTAAAAATGCTCGCAGATAAGTGTTAGCTAAAAGCTCCGCTCATCTGTAGTGGGTACCAGACAATTTAGGAGTCGGTATGGATCACCCACCCGACTGAGTCGTAAGTTACAAAACATACTACTGTATAGGCGCATGAATATTGTGATGATATAACAATAAAATCGACAAAACATTCAGTTCAGTAAAATTTTAATGGATTGTAATTTTGCTTATCACTAAAATGTTTTATATTACATATTTATTTTTGTCTTTATAATTCTCTTCATAATGTCCCAACCTTAACCTTAAATATTTGGCATAATATTAAAATTTTATACATACACTTCAAATACCCAATACATTTAATAGTGTTAGTACTTGTGTATTTGATTTAATAAATTAAATTCGGTATTGAATATTGTTGTTTTATTCATAATAAATTACACATACAGAGTGAGAGAGAGAGAAGAATTATTGAAAAATTTAAAACAATATCTTTAATATTATTAATTTCTTTGTTACTTCTTGGCGATTTAACGGCTAATTTAATGGTTATGAAATTAGGCATTCGCGTAAGATTTACGATGTCAAAGGGCGTTATTTATTTTCGTTGCTATTTTATGTATTTTTATATCCGTTATTAGAGTATTTTTATAAAATTTGTCCAGATAAGACACATTTTAACCACAGGCAGATTACGAGTACGAGCCTTTATGCTTGTATTTCGATTAAGGAGTTATAGGTAAGTATTATAATATAAAGTTTGTAGAGTTGTTTAATTCATATCGTCAATATCAACCCACTGTACGTGACGATTGATACTATTTAATAGATAGGTGGATAAGACATCAGTTTCTTTGAGAACGATCGTATTTAATAATTATTGATTATTGATGTTACATCTAGATAATACAAAAATGAGTCATTACAAAATATTAATTCGTAATTTGCAACAGCGCCACGTAATGTTAAAACGAAATTAATATTTGTAATAAATGGAACTATTCTAAAAATAATCAGTTTTTAACAAAAATTGTTCTTAAAATTGGTTAAAAATAAGATTAATATTTTGAGCTTATGGTATAATGTTAAAAGTATCTAATCGAAAATTGCGTAGAACCAAATGTAATAAAGGTGTCTTCCGGAAGGCAGTGTTGTAATTTAAAGAGAATTTTCTTTTATATAGAGGAGTTTTATTGATAATAACTTCGTAAAAATCATTGTTTAGGAAATATAATAGCACTTAAGTCAGATATTGATCATAACTACAATATATGTAAATGAAATAAAAATTTGTAATGTTTTAGTTATGTTTCTGAACTGTCGAAATATAAATTTTTATTACCTCAGTGTAATAGTAAATTTTGACTTTGAGATGGGGATATATATTTTTTGTTGTTGACAATTCTTCTATCTGCCATCGATCGACAACTCAACTTCCATGTAGTAAAAAATCAAATCAAAATCCATATAACTTTGACTGTATCCTAAGATTAATTAATATTACTGATACTATTTGTTTAACTTTATTTAATGCTGATTTTTTTAAGAAAATAAATTGATACAATGGGCGACGTTATCAAAAACGTTGTATCATCAGTATTTTCTCCTGAATGTTACGAAGAATATTTTACGAAGTTTAACTTTCTTGACGGTAACTATTTAATATTACAGAAGTAATATTAATTTTTAAATATTTACTTAGTTATATATTTAAAATAATTACCATTTGTAAGAGAATTTTAAATTGTATAAAATGATACCTTTTCACCGTATAATATTACTTCTAAAAAATTAACGCTTTAATTTATTTCAGTACCATGTTTCAAAGCGACGTTGAGTAAAGGACTTGGAATTGGTATTATTGCTGGCTCAATATTGGTGAAAGTGCCACAAATTCTAAAAATCTTAAACAGTAAAAGTGCTCAGGGCATTAACTTTTATGGAGTTTGTTTAGAACTATTTGCGATTACTGCCAATTTTGCATATAGTTATGTTATGAACTTTCCCTTCAGGTAATTTAATTTAATTTTTGATAACATTACTCATATCATTCCTTACTAATATCATGTGAGTTTGTTTATTATTTTATAGTGTCTTAATAGCGTAACCAATCATTATGAAATTTTGTATACATTTACTGTATGGGATGAAGAAAAATATAGGCTTTTTATCCCTGTCACGTGGAGTAGTTGTTAGTAAAAGCTAGTAACTATAAAATAATCATATAAGGATTTTTATATCCAAAGATACTGGACTAAAAGCATAGATTGAATGCTGTTTGCATTATATCAAAATAATGGCCTTATATATATTTCTACCTATATCTCATTTAACATTTAGCAGATCATTAAAGGCCAGTTATGACAAGAAATTTTTAAATTACATCCTCATATCTAATACAGTGTGCAAGGCAATTTTATGTTCTATTGTGACTGACAAAATATTAAATGGAAGATTGTAATTGATTAATACAATTTCTTTTACTTAATCTCACAATATTTATTTTTATCATTTGTGTCAATAAATCATCAGGTTATTATTTAAAATTACTATATTAATAATTTTCATCAAGAAATCTTAGGAAAATGAATTATTATAAATCTTACTCTTTCAGTGCATGGGGTGAAGGAACATTCCTAGCTATTCAGACTGCAATAATAGCAGCACTTGTTTTACATTACGGAGGTACACCTGGGAGGGCAGCTGCATTCTTAGCATTGTATGTCGGACTTGTGTCAACCCTAATTAGCGGATATACTCCTACAGATATATTATGGTCAATGCAAGCTGCAACTGTACCCATAATTTTAGTAGCAAAGGTAATAATTTCTATTATTGTTGACTATAATTTTAGTCTTTAATTGTCCATAGACAAGTAGCAATGAATCCATCAAAGGAAAAATTTTCTCCGGTACATTTATGAGGTAGAATGAGATTTTAAATGTTACTCTCTTATGGATTTGCTAGCGATAACAATTCCATTGATGGATTCATTTGGCATTGGTCTAGAGGGCCTTGTTGGGTCCAGAATATACATACAAATATAAAACTACAGGGAGTAAGTAGTCTTGAGCCACTAATATCAATAATTTGCATAAATTTAACACAGAATGATAATACTGTATTATTGGTTGGTGATAACAAATATGTAGTTTGCCTTTGTTACATGAGTTATACATCCAAAGTTCATTTATAACAAGTTTTACAGTTATTGTGTATGCTGTACTTATAGATAATAATTATTATGTAACAGAATGTGTTGTTAAATTATAATAGTTATTCTGATGGATATTTATTTTTCTTGAAAGTAATATTTATCTATCTTCCTCATAAGCCCATGTATTTATGTGGTGTGTATGACCTTATATCTGAAAATGGCAATGTCATCCAGGTATTCACTCTACAGCTAAAGGTTTAGATAAAAAGGATGTTACATTATTTTCATAGAATTAACTGGATATATTTACATAAGGACTTTCAATATCATGTAAAAAGTCACATTATTATTTGTTTTCAGGCAATCCAAGTTATCACAAATTACAAAAATGGTAGCACAGGTCAATTATCAGCTGTCACCTGTCTACTTCTATTTGGTGGCAGTGTAGCTAGAATTTTCACTTCAATTCAAGAAACTGGAGACTTTATCATTATTCTTACATTCTGTGTATCAACAGCCGCCAACGGTGCATTGGTATTACAACTGTTTTGGTATTGGAATGCAGACAAAACCAACAAAAATAAGAACAAGAAAAAGAAGAAGCATGCATAAAATATCGTAAATGTTTTAGAACAAAATTATTATAATTTATATATAAATTATGGTAGGTAAAAATAAAAGAGGTCATATTTTATCTAGACTTTTTTGTTAACCCCTATTCATTGTAGAACTTTACTACTATATACTCCAAGTCGACATCTCTTATACACATACTATACTACATATATACAAACACATACTCTTCTCTGGAAACCATTATTTCGTTGTTTCCAGAGGAGACTGTGTAGTGAATAATTCGTTTTAATAAGATACCAGACCTGCTGTTGGCCTATTATAACGAATTAATCATAGTTCATCCTTACCTACATTGTCACACCAGCATAAATCAACAGCGCAGGCAGCATTACCATTTCATTTTAATATAAAAAAACTGGTCAAGCGTGAGTGGAACTCGCACGCAGAGGATATATTATGTAGATAAATATATAAATATGAAAAAATTACCATTATTGCATTTCTCAAATTAAATAAGTCACAAATTCACTTAATAGTTATTATTGATAGTACAGTTCCTAATTTATTATTTTAGGTCCTAACTGAACTCTACAACTTTGTTTTTGAGGTTTTTAAAAATTTCTTTAAAATGGTATTTAGAACATCGTTTAATTTTTTCTGTATGTGTCTACGTACACTTTTGTAAACTATAATTATTTTAGATTTGTCGCATCAGAGACTTCGGAGATAAAGGGGTGGATAGTTTTTTCTCATATTTTCAGTTATAACTAAAAAATACGAAGCATAAAAACCAGTTTTAAAATTTACAAATGAAACTTTCTTATTCTATTTTGAAATTGAATTTCTGTTTTGAACCCCTTAGTATTTTTTTTTTCAATTATTTTCATTGAAACATGTTTGGGTCAAAGATATGTAAAACTATTCCAAATTTAAAATCGATGGCATTAGTAGTTACAGAAATATTTAGAGGGGGGCCTACTCCAGGATGCGTTCAAAGCTAAGACATGTCTGAAAATATATATGCGCCTTGTTGAAGGCCTGAAAGGCCTCCATGAGTTCAAGAGTTAATTTGTATCTTTTTGGTATGGGACCCTAAAAAGAACACTCATCAGTTGCACATGGTACATATTGTACAATGTACTCAATTTTCATAGTAATATGTAAAAAATCTGTTATGCGGTATCTACGGATGTGTACTCATTATTATAATATTTTGCAGTTAGATTGCACACTACCGCGTGGATCGTGTTGTGTGCTTTGATTGGGATCTAGTGTTTGGGTTGCTTATAAAAATAAAAAGATATTGGTGATTAATATTTATTTTTGTATTACGGCTTTTAGGTTTACATTATTTTATGATACCTAGCCAGAAAACAACAAAATTAATGACTAAGATTTGGTTAATATTTTGTTACCAATTATTTCTGATTGGAATGAATAAGTCGTTACTGCGACAAGGTTTCATATAATTACATAAAAACATGTATAAATAACATCATTGCTTATGGCAAATGTAGAAAATGGAAGAAAAAGAAATGTAGGAAAATTATACATTTAAGGAGATAATGAAATTAAAAGAATTAGAACAAGTGTGACAAATATATCTATTTAATACAATATTTAATGTGAAATGTGCTTAAAAACATAGCACCCTATCAATTAATTTATAGCCCTAAACACTTATACCTAGAACACTCTTTAAACAAACAAATAGGTAGATTGTACAGGTCGTTATCCATGTCACTCTTTAGGGGGTTGCTCTGGTGCTTTCTCCTCTGCTGGTGGTCTCTCTGGCTCGTTACCATCAGCCCACTTTCCATCATACTCCTTCCTATCCACGTACCTTTCTTCTTCGTACTCGCCTTCGCTTCGATGGCTATCACGGCCCGAGTAGCGGGAGTAGCTGAAATAAATATTGATCATAAATATTTTTTTACAGTGCATTATTTTTTAAAGGTACGTCAGATTGTTTGTTGTTGCATTCTAAGTTGCATAAAAGTAATAACAATTACTGTTTAACCTATATGATGGATTGAACATAATGTATTACATTTTAAATGAAACTTTAATTAGAATAACAATAGATATAATGAATTTAAATTGTTGAGGTAACTATTACATTACTCACCTATCTCTGTCCTTTTCGCGCCTCTCTGGGCTGTACGATCTGGAACGTCTGGTGCGGTCGGGACTGCGCGAGCGTGAATACCGCCCGCCGCGTCTATCACGGAAGTCGCGGAACCCACCCCTGTGTGGAAATCATGAATAGGTTACTTTCCAATATGCATTTGTATTATATAACATTTAAATGGCAACAAAAGTAATAAGTTTTACCAAATCGGGCCTTTGGGGGCTTTTTCCTCCTAGGCCCAAATCTAGCTTTAAATTAAGAAAAATGGGTAATTTCAAGAGGCATCACTAAAAATGGCTTAGTTTATTTATATATATAATATGTATTCTTTATTGCACTTATTAATAACAAAATGAAACGATAGGCAGTAACCAAATACAACCCATATTTTTTAATTTTGAACTAGTCGCCTTTTTAAATAAATTTAATTCAATACTTTTTCTGTGACATTATTCATAAAAACGTCAAACCACTCAAAAACATATTTTAGCTATTGAACTGTTTTCTCTCTTTTACGTTAAATTCTCAATTGAAAATGACAAAACAGTAATAGTTAAAGTAGATGTGTGAAAAAGTTTTAGTTTGGCAAATCAGGCCGGTACCTGAATGGTCGGCCGCGGCCGCCGCCGCCCCTGCGCGGTCGGAAGGGCCGGCCGCCACGAGAGCGGTTGTCGCGCCACTCGTGCTGGAAGCGGCGGCCGTCGTCGCGGCGGAAGTCGCCGCGACCGCGTCCGCGTCCGCCGCCGTTGTACGTGTGGAACCGTGGCCGGTAGTACGTGCCGCGTTCGAAGCCACCGCGCCCACGCCAATTTCCTCGCCGATTGAAACGGGAACGGAATCTAAATTTCAGAAACGTGCTTTTACGAAATTGGATAAAGCAAGCTGTATTTTATTATTTATTTCACTGTTTCTCATAATATATAAATATATAATGGGTAATGGGAGCATTAGAAAATTTCAAATATATCCATTTTTCATTCATTCATTCCACTTTTTCGCGATGAAACTATAAAGTCAGACATAGACACTAAAGATAGCTAATTCCTAGAGAGGTTAAAAACAATGTGTTTCATTGCTTATGACATACATGACATTTTCGTAAAAAAAAAAAAATTATAAAGAATTTCAATGAAAAATCTCAAAAACAAAGAAAAAAAAAACTGTTGTTATTTACCTTTCCCTTGAGCCCGAGCGCGATCGCGATCGACTGCGTGAGTAGTAGGAACGGCTGGCATCGGAGCGGGACCGAGAGCGTGGCGACGCTGAGCGGCGGCGACGGGACACTGACCCGCTGCCGCTCGAACCTGAGCGCGAGCCCGATCCTGAGCGCGAGCGGTACTTGCGTGGGCGCGATCTACACAGTTGAATTATTTTCAATCGAAAAATTCGATGCTTCGTTCTCACATTTAAAGGTGTTCAACGTGTTACAAATTGTACCAGCTGAAATAAATAGAACCTGTGCAACAAATTTTCACTTGTTGTTGCATAAGTTCCATTTATAAACAAAAAAACAAATATTACAAAACCACAATCAACTAAAGCTGTGGTCCCGGTATGGCTATTTGCATATTTTTTAATCCGACAATAAATTATTTGAATAAGTTTTATATTTTACTTCTTGGAAAAGCGTCGTTCGTCGTCAGAATAGTTTTCGAATCACCGATGCAGAGACCATTGGCTTGATAAATGACACAAATTTATACTGTACACATATATTACCTGCTCCGTGATCGCTTGGGTGAGCGACGATCGTCTTCAGATTCGTCGGTGGAGCGACGGCGCGGTGACGGTGGCGAGCGTGGACGACGCGTGGCAGGGGTGGGAGGCTTGATACGTGTTACGAACTGTTCGGGTCGACCTTCGCCCACTGATACCGGAGTTTCGCCCTCCTGTGCCAGTCGGAACGATCCGAACTTGTCTAGCACTATATTGCCTTTCCGAACCTGCGCAAATTACGAATATTCCCGATATTAAACTATTTACTAACAGATTCATTTTGTACTACAAAAAAAGAAAAGAAAAAAAAAACAGCGCCTTTTACTGTGGAAAAAGACTAATAAAAGATATAAAAGTTTCGCAGTATTTGTTGACATATTAGAATGACAATATTTTAGAGTACAGAATGATATGTCCAGAAATAGATATTGCTGGGCAAAGAAAAACAGCAGCCTCAATCGTAACTATAACTATTGAATTAAATGTAAAAATATTCATTCAAAAATGTACTTCATTGTTGACGATGTAATCATATAAAATAGCCACATAAGTAAAAATTTATTGATAACCATGGACCTAGAAGCTACAGAAAGACTAGAAGCACTTATTAAATAAAAACCATATCAGGATTATGACTGACACTACATTAAATAGACATATTAATGCATGCTATATTTACAGGTGGATGCGAAGGCTCGGTGCCAGGCGGGTCAGGCTCGCGAGACTTGCCGGGCGGCGGCGCTGACGGCAGCGGTGGCGGCTCCTTCATCGCCATCGCACGACGCACTGACACGTTTTTGTCGCCGCTCGTTGGAGACGGCTAGTTCAAAACAAAAATAATAAGTAGTATAATCAAGAAAATTAATCTATTATCCAAGAGGAATCAACGTCATCAGCTGTTTACTATTCACTACTGACCATAGGCCTCTCCATATGTTCAGTAGAGAGAGGCCTATGTCCCAAAATATGTGTGTAAATTGTAATTAGTAGAGTATTTATAATTGAACAGATTTGTATATGTATTGTAGATATAGATAGAAAATACTCATTACACACCTTTGTGACTTCTTGTGAATCATCTGAGCTGTCATCAAATGCATAGCGTTCTTTGTAACCTTTGGGAACTGATGCTTCTTTCTTCTTAACCCTGGACAAAAATAAAAAATAAATATTAATACAATTTTAAAGTTTAAAAATAAAAAGCAATGAATAATTTGCAGCTATAATAAAAGTATATAATATAACAAACACTAGTGTATTTTGTGCATATGATCTTTCACCTAATAAAATTCCTAAAAATTTATAATTTTTAAAGGTTTCTTTATAAATGTGTTTTATTATATTTTAATTTTTACAACTTACGAGTCTTTCACAGCACTCATAGACATCTTCCACTTGGGTTTCTCAAGTGGTGGCGGTGGTGCTTGGTCGATGGGGCTGATGGAGCCACGTCCATCGCGTTTGCCTAGAACTTCCTTTTCCACCATAACATGGTATGCACTTAGTTTCGATTCCAATTCTTCTAAGCCGTGCATCTCATCCATTATCCTAAATTAATTATATTTATTAATGTGATGGTAACGGAACAATAATAATAGTGTGATTTTAGAAGTTACAAAATCGGGTAGAATTTTTTATATTCATGTAAGGTTAGAAGGTTGTTGGTATTTGTTTGCTTTGTCTACATTTTTATGGTCAATTTTTTAAAGTATTATATAATGAAAAAGTTATATACAAAAATTCAGTGACACTTCAGTTGCAAAAATATAATATAAACATTTTACCAATACCTTTTGTCACCATGTTTTCTGTCATATTCCCCTTCTGAGCTCAGATCTCTCTTCGATTTTCCTTTTAGTTCTTTTCTGTGAAAGTAATATTGGAATTTCAATAATTTTCAAAAATCCTCAAGCTATTTATAACAAATGCTTTTCAAATTTATACTGTTATGATTTTCGTTATCAAATAATAGATTCATAATCATACAAATTTTTTTACTCACTTCATTTGAACATGTACATAAATTGCATTTTAAATATTTAAATTCAATAATGGAATTAAATATTGTGGATTTGTGAACTTGATTACAAGAAATTTGTATAATATTGTAATCAGTATATTTATTATTACCTGATAGCATCTCTCAATTTCTTGTCTCCTATATTTTCCAGATCACGTAGACTGTATTCAGCAGAGTTGTTGGCAGCCGAACGCGCCATTTTTGCCTTACGTTTTTCTTCCCGCTCTTGTTCTTTACGCTTTCGCTTCGACTCCTTTTTCTTTTTCCTGTATAATATAATCAATATTAATTTAATTAAATAATAACCTTAAATTAATAATATTAAGATTAACAATGTCTAAAAGTCCAAATTAAACAGGATCAAAATATTGAGTTCTTTTGCTTATCACGTTTTTTGTTTATATCATTATCATAGAAATAAATTGTGACATACAGTTGACTGTGCGGCATTATTTGTCTAAATTAATAAAGTGAATGTAAATGTTAGATAATCACATATGATTGATACAAATATTTGTGAATTTAATTAATATGGGAACAACACGGTCATAATTCTTACAATTGCAATAATTAACAAAATTTGTTCAGAATTGGTGACGTAGTCGCATAGCCACAATAAATAAAGATGTATTGAAAATTTTCTGAAATGGCTAAATAAATAGTAGAGACTGGGTTCATATGTTACAGCGATACAGACTTATCTTTCTTCTTCTTTTTTTTCTTGTCATGTTCAGCGCCTGGTTGCGGTTGCTGGCCCAACTCTTGCATCTTCCGGTTGCGTTTGTACTGGGCTGTCTCCTCTAAGAAGTTGCGCACTTTATCTTCATAGTCCGAGTCTTCCTTGGTCATCTCCAGGAATTTTCGTACCTGATATAATAAAATTTTATATAATAGGAAATAACGACAAAGAAGTGGTAAAAATTTTAAGGAGAAAATAAAAATTGAATGTTTGTTATAAGTAATTTACGATTTTTTTTTTTGATTTTGACGATATTTGAGTGTCTAGAGCAATCACATTACAGATTGATCTTTATGTAAAAAAAGATTGATATATTCACATATAGCAAAAAATACGAAATAGAAACTCGAAATTTTGCTCTGGCAATTTGAAAATATTTATGGAAATGAGATGTGTATTCACAGCAGACTTAGAATTAAGTTTTTTTTTTTCATTAAAATCAGTTAAGCTGGAAATTAGCGTGAACAAAAATCGCGACAAAGGATTTTTATATATTAAAACTAGCTATTCCCCGCGACTTCGTGTGCGTGACCGGCATAAAGAGTACCCTAAGTATATCCTTCTCCATCGCATATAGTATGTGTATAAACAATTTTTATAGCGATTAGTTAAGCCGTTAAGACGCTATAATGTAACAAACAAACTCACTTTCACATTTATAATATTAGAAACAATTACCTTTAGTTCATAATCGATGTCAGCTTGTGAGCGAATGGGTATGTTATTTGCCTCCTCAGCAGGCGGCGGTGGCGGCTGGTAACCGTAAGGGTGATTGAACTGTGAGTTGTGGGTGCGCGACGCAGAGTCAGAATCGCCGAGCATCGCCATCCGTTTGCTGAGAGGCGACAGGGACCGTTGCCGCTTGTTATTGGATTGCGAGCGCCGTTTCTTCTTGCGGTTGGGGCCTTCGGAATCTATGGGCAATACATTTATTTTATTTATTTATTTAAACTTTAATGTATAGTGAATTTTTATATACACATGGCGGACTTGACACGGGATGGTGTTCTCTATCAGTCAACTATTGGGCAAACCGAGAAATAAGTAGATGGTGCATTATTGAATTGAGGAAATATAAAAAAGTAATACTCAATATATACATATATTACAAACATATAATTAGACTTATATAAACATAATATGAGATGTTAATACCTGGTTTCTGACAAATAAAAATCTAATCACGTAACTGCACTAATTAATTATTAAATTGTTGATTTTCGCTATCAAGATCTTTCTAAATTAACATTACGAAATTCTAAGCTAAGCTAAGGACTTGGCCAAAAAATACAGAACACTAAGTGCACAATCACATATGTAAATATATAGACAAAGCAACTGTTTAACGTCAGATTTTTCGTATGACACTGAGGGTAGATTAACGAAACTGTCACAAGTAATTGTCAACGTCGAGAATTCATCAACTCATACACGAAACATTCCGATTCACGTAAAATATGAATAGCTCGTTGCAGCAACTGTTTGATAATTTAAAAATGGAAACGGTAAAACAAACGGAATAAATTCACGATTCTGTGATTACGAATGTTAATGGAAACCTTGAGAATATAAGAAGTAAATTCATTGTTAGAAATAAAAATAATCAATTGGAGGAAAATAATAAGCATTTTAGAGAAAGAACAGAAAAAGAATAACATAATATTATTTATTTTGGAAGAAAAGAAAATTCTAACATAGAATTAGTCGTTATATCGTATAAAAAAAGTTTATAAAGATTTAAAAAATTACTTCAGAACACCATGAAATCAATAAAATACATAGAATAGTGAGAATAGTGAAAAAAAAAAACATAAGTTAAAATGTTTTCCTGATGGTATTTTTATACTCCTTTTTCCTCTATGAACCACTTTTCCCAATATTTTTTTTATTGAAAGTGGTTCAAATGAGATACTTATATAGAGTATTCACTGTATTAGAATGTTAAAAAAAATTCATACCAGTTGAGTCAGATGATGATGACGATGACTCGGAAGATGAACTGGAGCTGGACGAATCACTTGACGAAGAAGAAGAACTACTCGATCTCTTCTTCTTACCTTTCCCTTTTTTCTTTTTCTTCTTTTTATCTTTTTTCTCTGTCAAATTTAATAGCTGTTTAAGTGTTTCTTTCATTTCAAATGATTTAGCGCCTGTGAGACCAGGCAATAATAACTCAGCTGGCTCTATCAAGGGTTTCGCAGTTGATGTTTTGCTCTTCAGGAAATCTAAAGAGTTTTGTGCTTCCTCATGGAATGGTATGATTGCCAAACAGTCTTCATAAGCTTTCTGTGCTTCTGTTATCTTGTTCTCATCTTCATAACTCCGCCCTAATGCAACTAATGTCTCTCCTAAGTATTTTCTAGCATTCGCATGGTTTGGATTCAGTTTCAAAGATGTTTCAAAGTCTTCTATAGCTTTCTTGAATGTGCCACTGTTTGCATAAAGTGCACCTCTAGCCACAAGACCTTCGACGTTTCTTGGATCAATGCTCAAAGCCTTGTTCAAACACTGGAATGCTTCTGAATGTCTTCCTGCTTTGAAATGCTCTATGCCTTCAGCTACTGAACGGAATGCCCATTTGCTAGCTTGAGCCTGGCGAAGTTCATCAGCATATTCTGTTGTTGCAAATCCTCCTCTGTGAATTATAATTTAAAATTAAAAAATAAGTAACAAAAATAAACCTGTAATCAGTGTATAACTAATAATGACAGGTAAGCTTTGTTGCTGGAGGTTTTGATATTAAAAATAATTTGAAATCCATAGAAGACCCAGTGATCAATACAATTCAAAAGATTTATAAACTGAAGTGGCACATACATACATACATATTTATCATACCTGCCTCCCATTACAGTAGACAGAAACAATAATACAGCATGCAGAAATAATTACTAATGTGGAAAAAATGGTTTTAAGTGGCGATTTTACAAGGTAAATAACTTTGTTGACCTGTATGGGATCATGACTGTCATTTTATTTAAATGATAACCTACCACCTGATCGAGTAATGCAGACTCAATAGATGCAATGTGATTTTGACAGATACATGTTATGAGATTAGAAAAACGCAGGCATATGGCCTATGTTTCTGTCGTCATCACAAAAGAAAAAAATTTAATGGCCTCTATTAAATATCGGTTTATTTGTTTCAAGAATACAAAGAGCATATTCACTTACTCACAAACACTTAAATCACATTTTGCGGTTACAGTATCTCAATAATGACTATTTATTAGAATATCAATAGTACTTCAATAATTTGAATTACTGATTAACTAATGTGAACTTAACATACCTCAATGATGAAAAATTAGTGCAGTGCGTGTTGGCGATTCCAAGCAGTTCAGAGAGATATTGGACGCAGTTGGGGTTATTGAAGCCTGGGCTCTTCTCCAAAATGGCTTCATAACTTTCCCCCTTCATATCCACAGTTTTCCTATGAGACAAGGAAACAAGTTAGTGACTTGGCCATTTTCGTAAATATTCTGTCCTTTCAAGTGATGATGAAATTCCATTATAAATTGATAATACATGTAACATCTTCGAATATTGATTTATTGAATAGTTTCAAGCATGTTAAGCCTATATTAAGTCTTTTTAATGTCACACATACGTTTCCTCACCTGTTCCAATGGAGCTGTTCAAAAAATGTTATTTTACTTGTATTTTAGTTCTTTCACACACAAATAGAACATCATATATGTATTAGGTGACGCCTCTGCGACAATGTGACATTAATATTACCAGAATGTCTCAGCTAGTCACAGTACAATGCGGTAGATGTGACCGGCTGGTCTTGGGTATCGTTGCTATACCTAGAAAAGAACACCCTAAAATAGTGGAGGGAAGTGCATCCATGGTGCACATCAGCCAGTCGGATGTAAAACGCTGTGAACAGCCGCGATATCTCTGTGCCATCTCCGACAGTTTCAGCTAAATTGATAATTGCCAGTAGATAATTGTCCTTTCATTACAAATAAATAACTCCAACATCCGATAAATGTTCGTTATAAAAGTCCAATCATAATGGTCTGATATATTGCTGGAATATTAAATATTAGCTTTAATACAGAATTACAAAGTTTCTGTTATAGAGAGATCAGAATGAGACCCTAAATTTGTACTGACCTTAATAATTTTAATAAAAAAAGGGTGTAAACAATTTCAACTATCAATTTCTGCACGATGCTCAACAGTATCTAATACGTTATAATCTTCAAAAACGTAGTTTAATATATTGTAACCCTTTTATATCCAAGTGTATTCTCATATCACCAGTTCCTAAACAATATCATGCAATAACTCTCAGATATTTGGTGAAGTGTGATTTTGTACTGAAAAGTGATCAGAAACTAGTGAAAACATCCATCAAAGCCCGTTTTAAGAAGGTTTTATATATACCTACCCAAGTGTACATAATGTTTAAACAATAGCCGTGTAAAAACCAACCACATGGCACAGACCGTCTACAAAAACAGGGGTATTCCTCGCATTGGTTACATTGAATTGAATATTCGGCGCCGATTAAACGTCATTATGTCCATTCAATTAAGTCATATTCATTGTTCTATGTTCTCATGGTCATCTCGTTTATTTAATAATATTGTTGTCCTGTAACCACTCCAGAGTCTTCCTTTGATATTCAAACATTTTTCTTCTTTTTACATAAATACCACTGATTTTATAGTTATCAAACTGTTCACACATAAATAAAATAAATACATAAAAACAATACAAAATAGTGTTTCAACTTGGCAATAGACCTGTAAAAACTGTGTAGGGACAATGTGATTACTAAATGCGACCAATTATGTTCATACATACTTGTAAACAAGCGGAAAGTCATCAGTGCTGAGGAGTCCAAGGGAAGGCTTTGGAGGTGGGTCATCTGGGCCCCGAGTGATTCCCTTCATGCCGCACACCATTTTGTCGGTGTCAGGGATGACTTCAATGACTTCACAGCACACAGTGTCATTCATCAGGTAGTTTCTTGATACATTTTTCTTGTCCATGGCGGGTATGATATTTGCAACTGGTAAGAATGCCTGTCAAACAGTAAAATAGATTTATTTTCATGTAGATTGGTTGACATTTATTTTATGGCAAGGTTAACACACACACACACATTTAAAATTAATCATTTTATATATTTAATAACCAAGTTTTTCTAAATTACATAGATCTAATCTGCAGACAGTTTTTTTTATTGTCTGTATACATGCACAAAATGATTAATAGTTGATTGGTAATTGACTTGCAACTGAATATTAACAGATAAATATGATCTTATATTACTAAATACAAATAAAGGAAATTAAGATAAAAAAAAAAATGGTGGGGCAAAATATATTATCATGAGACTGTGATGCAGTGCTAAATTAACAATTATTAAACATCTTAATAAACAATTTTCTTACTGCACTACAAATATAAATATAGATATAACTCTATACAATGAAATAATGTGTAAGGAGGTATACCAGATAAAGTATCAGAAATAAAAATAAGTAACATCTATTTCAAAGTAAGATTTGCCTTTTAATTTTATATAAAAATCATGTTCTTTGCAGAAGATAACTATGAGCATGTAACAGCTATTTAAATAATACCTTATATCTGTACATACATATATACAATGAAATTTTATTGAGATCAATTTAATTAAAAAAAAAAAAAATGTTTTGGCAAAAAGAGTGACTGCAATGACAAAATTAATGAGTGGAACTATCTCGATAGTAAACCCTAATAAAAATTACCAAAATCGGCGAAGATATTAGGACTGACACCCAAACAATGTGATAATTCAATCTTCGAACAACAATCAGTATAAAATTATAATTGAGTTAAGGACTTAATCATCTAATTCAGTGTTTTAATCATATAGAATTGTTATTTAGTTAATAAATTAGTTCTTTAAAGAGCCTTGGTCCCTTGTATCTTATTAGATCTTGTATATTTACATGGTAGCTTAACTTCCAATTATGTTTAAACTAATGTGCTGAGCGAAATGGCACCATTTCCAAAATGACTACCTGATTTGAGTTTACAATTGAGTATATTTTATCCTTCTTCATCCCATATAACATTTAGTATTTATATGTAATTAATTTCACAGTGACAGATTGTTACAGGTAACAAACAAACTTACTTTCACATTTATAATGTTAGTAAGGATTAGCTGTTTGCCCCGGTCTCGCACGGATAGATAGACAGTGAGATAAATTAATATTTTATATTACCTTTACCAGGCAAATTTATACGTTGTGTTATAATTTGTGTAGAGGTATTTAATTTTTTGAAAAAAAAAATATTGACGTTACTAGCTGATAATATAGCTTTCTATAGGTGAAAGAATTCTTAAAATCAGTCAAGTAGTTTTTGAGGTTTGCCATTACAGAGAAACATACAAAAAATCTAATAAAAATAAAAAAAAGAGGAAAGTCTTTATAATGTCAGTATAGAAAGGAAATATAAATGATACATACTTTCACATTGATATCTGCAACATATCTTGAGGTGGGCCCAGCTGTGCATAAAACCTTCAGCATCATTCCAGATGCTGTTCGATTGATCACAGCTCCTATGATCAGCTCTCCTGTCTTCACATTCTATAAAATAAATGTATAATTAAAATTTTTACCAAGGCACCTTATTTATTAATATTTAATGAAAGTTTAGACAATCGAAGAAAATTTAGCTGGTTCCAGTGGACCATCTGCAGCTTTATTTCCACTATATTCTCAAAATTTAGCAAAAAATGTAAATATTAGATCTAATTATGGAAATTTGCGTTGCAGTTGAGTTCCAATCACGAATTAATAAAAAAAAAAGGAGAATTGCTTGGTTAATTAATCGTTTATACTGTGGGGTGGATGTGAAAAATGATGGCCAATCAAAAAAGTGACTTCATCTAACTTTACTTTTTTGACATCTACTCAGCACAAGGAACCAATAAATTCTCACTAGACTCATTTAGAAAACTCCCCATTCAAAGTATTAAAAATAAAAAGAAATATAGTATATTTTTTTTGTTGCGTTTATTCAAATAATTATGTAACACGTAACATGTGTATTACACTATTATTGAATTTTCGTGGATCCCCCACAATTGTGAACCCCCATTATTTTGTCATGCCAACATAGACCCATATCGAGTCTCCTGTGGACCCCTAGGTCCACCTGCACCACTTTATGAACTAAGGGTTTAGACAGATGGCAACCGTAATAAATAAAGTTTTGTTTGAGAAATCAGTTCAGGGTACAATAGGACTGATATACCTGAAGAAGGTAAAAGCCCATAAAATAATAATAATAATAAAAAAAAACCCTAATAGCATTTGATTTATATACATTTACATTGCCTGTAATTCTAACTATAGTATCAGCAATATAAAAGATTTCTTTTTATATTTGACACATAAAAAAAAAAGCAATTATAATCAAATAGCTAAAATAAATGTTTTTGTATTTATGAATTACATGTATATGATTACTTTCGACCAGATTCATTTATAATTCAAATATAATTTTGGCAATAGTTTTTTTTTACTGAATATACAAATTGTAGAAGATACAGATTGTACAATTATCTAATCTTATTACTTAATATCCAATTTTCATTTCCTGTATATATAAATAATATAACTGAAATCAATTTATCAAATTTAGTATGGAAAATATATTGTTATCTTTGGACAGGTAGTGTTTTGTTACTCCAATCAGATATTTCTGCTGAAAATACAAGCATTACTGTTTTGATTTGACCTTATAGGATTTAATGAGCGTGATTTAGGGATGGGATTGTAATGGGGAAAAACAGCTCCAATTTCTAGCAATAGACCCTGTCTGGCTGTCCTGTTCTTTGATCCTCACTTATCATCCTTCATTGGTGCCCTGTCAGTATATAACATTAGAACAAGTAAGATTAACATTCCATTATCACCCATTAGGAAAAGAAAGAGAGGCTGATCTCTAATTAAGAATTTATCTTTTGAACCAATTATGCTTAATTTTTGTTAAATTTGACACAATCGGTCAACAGACCTTTCATCTTCACCTATCGTACAGACTGGATTACCATTCTATTTTCACCAATTATAAAATAAATAAATAAATTGCTAACAATTTACAGCAAAATCCATAAAAGTGGATTAAAAATTACTTACATCAAAGAAATGTCTCAATCGAGCAGACTTATCCACATTCAAGAAAGTCTCAAATGGTGGCATTAATGCATACAGATCTGAAACAAAAAGAGTAAGAATGTATTTTTGAAACCAATAGACACTGACTTCCTTATTCATAAAAACGTCAAACCTCTCATAAACCTATTTTAACTATTGAAGTGTTTTCTCTTTTTCTTTTGTGCTAAATTCTCATTTAGAATGAAAGTGACAAAGCATTTTAATGCAAAAATAGGTTACTGGGATGTTTTAGTTTTTATGAATTAACATATATAGAAAAATAACCAGAAAACATGTATGGGTTGTATAAATAGATATGAGTTCCTTCTTCCTACCTGTCCCATAAAAACCCTTGGTGTAAAGTCAGGTAAAAAATAAATAAGTTACTTGGTTAGAATTGTTTTGTTTAATTCTGGTACCACTAGTATACATGTGAGTGCTAACATTTGAGGATGACTATTATTATTAGAAGTTCTATGACCACTAATAATATAATAATAATAATAGCCTTACTCGAGGAGAGTAGCAGAGGATATGAGCTCAGTGGAGAGCTGGAGGAGGCCTATGGCCTATAGGCCTTATGTTGAGAGGTAAGCTGAATTACGAGATATACTGTAATAAACAGAACTGGAAAATGTTTTGCTAAATTTGGAATAAAAGGGCTTTATTATTATTAATCCTCAAATATTAGCAGACACACATATACTAATGGCAGCAAAATTAAACAATGCTAATTTACTAACCCATGATGTGGTCTTCCATAAAATAAAACTCAGTTCAGAAAATATTTTTAAAGAAAATAAACACATTCACATAATAGAAGTATCTCATTATTTCCTCTAACATGAGATCCATTCCTGTTTCTAGATACATGCATGTATAAATATATGCACAATATAACTTGTTTTTATACTTTAGCAGTTACATTTTCGTGATAACTTATATTTAATAAATATTAGAAGAATAATATCTTACTGTCCTCTGGTGTGGGCGCATCAGCCCCTAGGCTGGATGAAGATGGAGTTTCCTCTAAGATCGATGCATCAAACAAAGCATTTGCTTCTTTAGCAATAAATTGATGGAGTTTTAACCGTTTGCCTCTATCTTGGAATGTGAGATGTTTGTGCCTGGATTGATACACTGCAAAGTCGAGCACACCCACGCCAATCTTGGACAAATCCTCTTCCCCTCGTTCGGCCTCCCACTGTTTTTGTAACTGCTGACCATGGTAATTAATGGACTGCGCCACTAAGGACGCGTCCAGTGTTGGTTCCATAGTATCTGTTTAAATATAGAAAAAATAAATTCGTTAAATTACTAGGTACAAGATTAAGTAGACGAATTCCGAAATTTGTCGTTAGTTGGGTTATTTGTCGCCATGATGGACAAAATAAGGATTCAATAAAAAAATTATATTCGCATAACCAAAACAAAATTTACTTACCACTACAAGTTACTTTAAATATTAAGATACAATAACAACGTTAAGAAATACACATTTATCTATTAGTTAAATAAAACAATATTTCATCACAATTTGTAATTTGCAAATGGCGGCCGGCAATGCCGTCATTACTTTTTTATGGTTTCAAATACAATTTGATAGCTTCGCTTGCTAGTGTTGCCCTCGTTAGGATCAGTCATTAGGTATAGAGTATAAATCGATTAGCCATTTGAGTATCAGAATTATCGAAAAAAAAATTGATAAAGGATTTAATTTATTATTAATAAATAACGACTACAATTAAAAGGATATTGAGATATAAGACAAAGTATAGATTGTAAATACTGTACCTAACAGTACTGAAGATTAATCAATAATGTACATTATTTTGATATAAATATTATAGGAAAGAGGTAGTACACGGCAAATAAATTAGAAAAAAAAAATATATTTAACTTGTCTCTGAATATATTCTTATAATAAAATACGTAATAAAATATTTAAACATAAAATAATCAATAATTAGTCTTCCGCTAGATTCTCTGGCGTGTAGTCCCGGCATAGAAAAGGCCACCCATTCTTTTCTCGTGAATGTCGTAAGAGGTGACTAAAGGAGGACAAGGAATAGAATGGGGAGATGTTCTAAGAGAGACGCTGCAGCCCTTTTAAAACATCTCCAAAGCCTAACTGCGATTATCAATCCGTTTGGTAAGTATAGGGACTACTAACTAAGCAGTAAACACTAAAGGCTGATATGATGATGATGATCATGAAGACTCCATGAATCAGATATATTTATATAAAAAATATTAATATATTAAAGTTTTTTTTATACAACTTAGAATGGCAAACAAGCTGACAATCCATCTGATGGAAAGTGGTAACCGTCGCCTATAGACATGAGCACTACCATGGACATAACAGAGTATACTGCTTCGCCCATAATACCACCCATGGGTTGCCATTCACAACCATGTTGCCATGGACTCGGATGTTATTCCTCTGTACCCAGTAAATTCACGCCATATTCCACGCTTCAAACCGAAACACAGCCATGCAAACACAACTGCTTCACGGTAGAAACACGAATGGGACAGAGGTACCCAAGCAATCGACTTTTGTACAAAAAGCCTCCCTTTGGTAAGTATATTGATACTGAATACATAGATATGTATAATACTAAATATAAACTTTTTTTTTATAGTAGCATGACACATTGACTCCAATACAACCAGACGCTAATGATCATAAAATCTATATGAGTCCCAGGTTCAACGCAATCTAATCTGCTTGTAACCCACATTACACTGACTTATATATTTATTATTATTTAGTGAAATTATTATTTATATTAATTGTGATATTACCTGTGAAAAATGATAAAAGCGATTTTTGCTCAAAATAATGTCGCACACAATACTATTTGTATACGAAAGTGAAATATAAATTCTGTTTTTTATGATAAAAGCGAGCGAACAGAGACTAGAAAATATGTTAAAGTCTCTGTTTGTTCGTTTTGTACGCCTAGTTTGCCGGCTGATGTGATTTCACATGATTTTTAATCAAGCGTAGTGATGACATATGAATAAATCAAAACGACCATTATATAAATAAAGTTTTTAATGTGATTTCATTTAGAGTAATTTGTAATAGTATACTCATGTATGAAACGAAGTAGCCGGAGTGATTTACAATTTCGCGTAGTAGTTGGCGTATTTAAGATTATTTTCCAGAGACGCCTGATTTCTTAAAAAGATGCACACGTGCACATGCAAACCAAATGATCGTGGGGTTTACGGTCCACCCGGCCCTCTAAATATATCTATGAGCGTAGGTAATGATATTTTACTTGTTTCGCGTGAAATATTCCAAGCTTATTCCTAGTTCATTCGATTACAATAATTTACGATTTACGACTATAATTAGTTAAATTGCATATAACATCAATATCGTTAGTATCAACTGGGTATTCTATATTCAATTTATGAAGTAAAAACTATTAGATTAACTGATATATCGACTGGCAAGACTGTCGCGTGCTACTAGAGATTGAATGAAACGCTAGTTATGGCACTCGTCGATTTGTATATTCTTAAAAGTTATGCTTAATAGCGTTCATCAAAGCGTTTATAAGGAATTAATGCAACGTCGCAATTATCTCTTAATGTACAAACATTTTGCAATAAACATAAAGTTTATATAAAGAGCGAATGAAATATGAAATAGCAATAGAAAGACGTTATGTTTCTGGAATTATCAGTCACTGAACATTTTTTTCTTTTGTCTTTGGCTTCTTAGGGTAGCCATTAGCCATCACTGGATAATTTATCTTTTGAAATACAAAGACTTAAGGAAGTTTATATACTACATATCAGTGTTGCGTTACTTCCATACTGGCTTTTAATGTATGGATTTGGTCAGGAAACATCATGCCAACGTTTAGTTAAATGATGAAATCACAATAGTGCCAACTTAAATAACAAAAGTACTGTCAAATGTGATACAAATGGCTGCCATTTAAATTATTTGTGTTATCTCAATATTGCCCAGTATAACTCCCATCCTCTTCTAAACTGTTTGTTCTGAGAAAAACTCTAAGATAGAAATCTTAGAGTTTTTCTCAGAACAAATAAACTTATCAAGTTACTGAACCCATAAAGAACTTCCTCCCATTCTTAAGAGTTTTACAAAGTACAAAAACCCCATCTCACTTGTTAAAAAAATAGATCGTAACCTTTTTTTCGAATTTGATTATGATTCCCTAATTTATCGTCCTAATGTAATTCTAGATTTTGGATTAAAAAAACATTCGCCGTCTGCTAATCAAAAGTTTAATGCTATTGTCGCGGAAACATGGCACAACTGGCTCCTAATGTTTACAGATGTTTCTAAAACTGACAAAACAGATCAGCTGGATTGGAGCTGCTGTGTGGATTCCAAGATATAACATTGTCCTCAACTTTAAATGTTCCCCTTCATCCTCAACATTTACTGGTGAATCCATAGCTATTATGGAAGCAGTGTCCTATGTAGAAACACATAAACTTGAGGCTTGCGGTGATTTATGGCAAAAAAACTAGACAATCTAAAGACAAATATTATAGTAATATCCAGTCCTATAGCTCTATAAAATCATGGTTTACTATCCAACGAAACTTAGATAAGTGGGTTACATCAGTTATACGCCGTCTACGTTTGGGACATGTCTGTACACACGTATTCTTATTCAAAATCCGAATCCAAGATCACTCTCTGTGTGAATATGACTTAGCTGAAGGAACATTAGAGCACCTATTTTTTAATGCCCCAAATTGACTCTTCCTCTCTATGATTTGTTGCTTTGTAATCTTGCACGTCCTGTAAAATTCCTTATTATTTTAGTCCACTCTCGTCTGGTTAAGGTAGTGTCCAAATTTATGTGTACTAATAATATAAAAAATTAAAATATAAGTAAATGTCTCTCTTTACACTTCTCGTTTTTCTTTTCATTCGCGTATTGTCCTTGCTATGATACACTCATATGTATATACATAAAATAACTTTATTTTTTGTTTGCATGTACGTAACAATTCTTGTGTTGTCCTCCTTTTCAGAGAACTTAACTGAATGATTTATTTACATTACTAAAAAACGTCATAATATAAATTATACGCAGTCTTCTCTAACACTGACATTGGCACAAAAATCACCATTGTCTCTACGATGGAAGCCATTTTTTTAAAAAAGAAGAAGAAGAAACTATTTGTGAAACAATTTTAACTTTGTATTTCATATTTCTTTTTATTTTGACGTGGGAATTACGACTATATATAATTAATATTGGCTTTATTACTAGGTCTACTCTAGAAATTGACCAGATATTACAGGAGGTGTTGAAAATTTGTATTTAAATAATATTACGAAATTAGGATTTTAAGGTTATATTGTATAAAATTATAAATACATTTAGGAATCATTTGCTTTTATTTTTGCAAAAAAATGTTCATTGGAACGTGCTTTGTGTTTTTACTATTAAATTATAATATAATAATTATTAATTACATTATATTACCTATTCGTTTCCATTTTGAATATTAGGCTGGCCAACATAACTAGTGAAGGAGGATTGTTTTGTGTAGATTGATAAGATATTCCTGACCTAAAACGACTTTTACGTGGCTTATATGAAGTGCGCACTCTTATTCCTTGGTTTTATACTTTTTACTACATACTCCCTATATAGAATTATATATCATATTTTTATGGCAACACATGGGAGGTATCATGGGCAAAACAGTATAATCTGTTATCTCCATGGTACTGCTCATATCTATAGGCGATTGTTATCACTTTCCATCAGGTGGGCTGTCAGCTTGTTTGCCATTCTAAGTTGCATAAAAAAAAATATGACAATAAATATAATAAAAGGTACAATCAATAATTATGTCAGCTATTTTTAGGAAATGAAGGCATAATGTTCTCCCATACTTTAAATGGACTATAAATGGACACTATCTAGGAGCCATAGATGAAGCCGTTTTTTAAATATTTTCAGGGGAAGGTCTAAATGTCTGAGGGGTCTATTATATATTTTTGGGTCATAAATGAAGCATTTTTTGGTACAATGTAAAATTGCTTTACAATTTTATTTATGTGACAGACGCACCGACACGGGCATGAGGCTGCTTTATATCATTATGCTTTAAAACATAGATGGTAATAGGGGATAAAATATTATTTGCTAGGTGCTGGGTTTTATTATATTTAATTTTATTTTGTCATAAAAACTATATATTTTTAGATTAAATATCTTGATGAAAATAGGGTTGGTATTTTCGTTTGAATTGCTAAGGGCTTAAGGATTGGATTTGACAGTGTCTCCTACAGAGCAAGTAATCAATATGATAGAGTCTTCTCTAAATAATATAATGAAAGCATAAATAGGTTTTACTCTAAAAGATAATCGTTTTTTTGAGTACGATAAGTGTATTTTTTTCTTTTTTTTATGGGTGAAAATGGAATGGTAACCTCGCCTGAGCTAACGGGATACGCTAGAGGAGCACTAGTGAAGGGTGATTGATGAGAATGAAAACAGGCTAGTTAAAACATCATGATGAATTCATCAGGAATTATCCATGATAGTTTCCAGGGGGAACCGTGCGGAGGTCAACCTGGTTGGGGTATATTGCTTAGTCTCCATTACTAACAATCCCTTTCCCCCCCCGATAAGTGTATTACATGCATTAATAAATACGTATGCAAGCCTATTTTTCCAATATCAATTTTGTAGAACTATATTGCCAAGAAAAACAGGAAGATCTGAATTTTTTAATAAAACTTTAAATGAATTTTAAGAAAACGGTTATTTAAACTTATATAACTTATATTTTTGATATTTTTAATATATTGTTTATAGTCAGAAAAAATATTTGAATATTTCTATCTCTTTTTTTTCTAGCTAGTCATAAATTTATCTACATCCCATTTTCCGCTTGACCGCGATAAAAGTAGCCTATATATACTCTTTTTTTATCCTTTATAGTATGTGTATACCAAATTTCATAGTAACTGATTAAGCCGTTAAGGCGCTATAAAGTAACAAACCAATAAACAAACTCACTTTCACATTTATAATATGAGTAAAGATTTGAATGGCTATTACATAATAAAAATTATTCCCTTTTGGAGCAATCATTAACAGACTTGGTATAACAAAGAATTTGGAATGGAGAAGGATATAGATTAATTTTTAACCCGGTCAATAAACATATAATGGTAATACTGACGAAGTCGGGCGCAAAAAATAGCGGAATATATTTTTAATGCTTGGAATTTTATTATTAATTTTAAATTCTAACCTACTTATATATAAAAAAAAAAAAACTTTCTAAAACGGATAAAGATCGACTAAGAATTGAACCCGAGAACTCTACGTGCGCTACGAATAGTCGTAGCTATTCGTAGCGCTTTATGGGCCAGCGGTTTCACACATCGTCTCATATTCCAATGGTGGTTGCAGGATTCGAGTCCCACAAAATACATTCGTCAGTCTGTTTGTATTGGTCATGGTATTTTCTATGTATACCATGCAGCATGTATTAAAAAAAACAATATGTATTTCTATAAGTTGTCTAGCTTTCATAAGATTATAAAATCTTTAAGTTTAGGATAACATAGAATCGTGTAATGTGTCCAATAGGGTCCAGTGATATTTATTAACTTTTATGAATTTTTTTTATGCAACTTAGAATGGCAAACAAGCTGATGAAGCTGATGACGGAAAGTGGTAATCGTCGCTTATAGACATGAATAGTACCATGGATTTAATTTAATTAGAACACTAGCGATAGACCGCTGATGTAAATGATCGATACATAACATATTAAGTAAATTTCCACAACCAAGACACGTGTAATTCGATCACAATAAACTAACAATATCATAATGTAATATTTCAGAATTATGTAGATGTAGCGGCCATATCTTGAATACTTCAAAGCGCCCATAAAGCGTCATTGGGAAGGTCTCACTTCAATAGAAGAGGCGAATACAAAGGACGAAAGAGGGCTAGGTAATGGCAGACACAATGGAAATACTGTTTGGACTAGTCGGTCCGCCTTCCGCACAATGGTGGACCGCAAAACTTATTTTATTCCTCAACACTTATTTATTTTCAGTACAATGTATGTGTACATATATACTACGTAGATACGTACATGCAGCTAACATACTATAATAGACTCACATAAAGGTAGGATTAGATAAAACGAGCGAATTGTTGTATCCTTTTTCTTCAATTTTTATTTATTTTAAACATGCTTTTAGATTTTTTTTCGAGCGTTCTTTCTTTGCTTGAATGCTTTCATGAACAATTTTCTTGTTAATATTTTACTGAACTAGGATTTGAATGATGATGATATGATAGAATTTAAATAGAATTATTTTGTTTAATTCCACTACCATTAGTATATGTGTCTGCCAATACTCGAAGATTGACCACTACTATTACTACGAGAAGTTCCACAGACTTCTATATTAGCCATCAATTTCTGAATACCATTTTGTTCATGCGCTTTTTGCAATACGTGTTATAGGGAGACTTTGTACAAAAGTCGATTGCTTGGGTACCTCTGTCCCATTCGTGTTTCAACCGTGAAGCAGATGTGTTTGCATGGCTGTATTTTGGTTTGAAGGGTGGGATATGGCGTGAATTTACTGGGTACAGAGGAATAACACCTGAGTCCTCAGGAATGGCAACGCATGGGGGGTATCATGGACGAAACAGTATACTCTGTTATGTCCATGGTACTGCTCATGTCTATAGGCGACGGTTACCACTTTCCATCAGGTGGGCCGTCAGCTTGTTTGCCATTCTAAGTTGTATAAAAAAAAAAAAAACCTATGAACGAGGCATCCTCGGGCAAATTATTAGATCGCAGTTAGGAACCTAGCGTTAACCGTTCGGCATCTAAATTGCAAGTTTTCTTTTTTCTTGTTGTGCTTTCTAGTCTGTTCTGTGCCCTCTGTTCTTTACATTTGACACCATCCTAATGCGAAGTCGACAATCAATACCTTTTGATTTATTAATTATTTTTTTCTAAATTTCCTTTTTATTTTGCCAGCTCATATCTACGACTCTTTTATTAATTAAGTTGTTGTTTTAATATCGTAATATCAGAGATCACACGACAACATGCATTCTACTAGTATATATTTAAGTTTATTGAATAATGTTAAAAATATATCCTTAATATATTTTATGTAGCAGTTCGTATCAGAATCTTGTTCGAATTCTGTATCGTGATTTCAATTAAATTACTGTATTGTAGCTGATACTGACCATTGCCTTCAATTAGGTTAGCATGTAGATACCTATTTATTGTAATAAAATGTTTTATACAAAAATTGTATAAAATTTTAAGTATTTTATTTAATTTTACTTTTATTATTATTCTAAGGCTTTTACTATTCCTTTTTGGTAATAAATGTTTAATTTTGAACACAAATAGTGTAACTAAAACATAGACATAATTAGAAATTTTATATTATGATAAATTTGTAACTAGACAATGTCTGTAAAGGAGAGATTTATGAAAAAATAATATGGAGGGTCATATTAAACCAATACAAGTTATAACAATAATTTTTAGAAATTTTATATGTCTGTATGTATGTTTGTACCAAATTAAATGTGATTTTCACAGTTGTGTTTCTGAATGTCTAACTTAAAATCTGTATGTTTTATACGCTATCTAAAAGTGATCTATTTCATTAGTCTTCCTTCGAAAAAAATATTCGAATTTTTAAATTTTTCTGCTTGATGAAAAAAATCTTTATTGAGATTATTTATGTCGGTTTTACTCACGTTTTAAATTCGGAGTTTTTCGACCAGTTTCGAAAGCAATAGGTACCCTTACCTACCTACCTTATTATTTAACAGTCTCTAATTTTTTTATTATAAAAAATACAAGGTCTAGGTATGTATGATAATTAATATTTCTTTTTGTGATGATGATGATGAGAATTTTGAAAGAGACTGTTATAAGAAATATGAATGTGAAATTGGAAACTATGAACAAGTTCTTGTTAATTAAAGTTTTGTTAAGAGCATATACAATGAGATTTAAAATTTGATTTGAATAATTAGAGTTTAAAATTGTTATAAAGTACCCACTGCAATGTGCTGTGTAGGTCCTAGCATAGAATGGGCCACCCCTCTCTTTCTCATAGGTGTCGTAAGAGGCGACTAAGGAAAGGCGAGGTATGAGCAGCAGCGTCCTTCTTAAAACATCTCTAAAAGCCTAATTGCAGTTGTCAATCCGCCTGCCAAGCGTGTCAATTACTGACAACCCCCCCCCACCTCCTTATAGGGGAGGCTATGTTCAGCAGTGGACATGGCTGATACAACTACCCACTGTCATAGACTCACGGAATTAGAAATATTGTGTGATTGATCTGAATTGGGTAACAGATAAAAAGGTAATGCTATAAAGCCTGTTTAAAGGTCTTTTTTATACTCATAATTATTCAGTAACAAGGCTATGTATATGTGACAATTCATAAGGAAAACTAATATTTCCATTAATATCGGTTATTTTGACACGCAGTTGTAAAGGCATGGATTGTATAATCGGACTGCGTTAGTTTTACTGTAAAAATTTCGACCACACGTTCTTATGTCCTGTTGAATATGGTTTAAAATTGTATGATTAAAGTTTTTTCTGTTGTATAATTTGTTGGTTATGTATATGCAAGGTGTATGTATTGTGCGGGTTCACACAATACGCCGCGTGGCTTTGTGCCTGTATTCGCACCATTGTATAGGGACATATTACCCAACATTTCCACATTGTGTCTTCTGCTTCTGGCTTCTTCATTTGATGAGACGCGTAACTTATTTGTTGTAGCTTTGTGAGCAGGGTTGCCATGGGTTACAATGATGGCATGTCTTACAAAGAATGTTAATATTTATCGAAGAAACTAATATTTATATTAATATGAATTTTAAAAGACTTTGAAAGTAAATGCATAATTATATAGATATAAAAGGTGACAGTGATAGATATAAAAATAATTATATAGCTTAGAAATAAATATTTATTAAATTATCTTATTGTAACATCTAGAAACATACTTATCTTACCCTAATGTTGTAATTAAAAATACTCGTCTTGGATTTAGGGTACTTAGTCTTTGGAAAATCCTTATCAATGCTATAATTGTGAATGTGACGTCTTCATACTTTAATAGCTCAAAATACAATTGCATTGATTTAAGCTTTACGATAATTATTATAACTTTTTGTAAAAGGGAAATGCATATGATTGTGAGGGTGAAGAAAGCGTGGTGCGCATGCACCTTGCGCGGTGGTGCCATGGGGTAAGGAAGGAAAGTCACCCACGCCGTCACCGCCGGCCGGCCGGTTCGCCTCACAGTCTGTGCTCGCCTCCGTTTGAACGCGTTCGCTTGCAACATCGGTATGCCGTAGACCGAACTTTTTCGTAGATATTATTTTCCCGCCTAAATTTTGTTTCGTAATTTAAAACAATCTTTTTAAACAAATAGGTAGTTTTATTTATTGTGTGCCAGCGTCATTGACGGTCCAGTGTGTTTGTGTGTGAATTAGTGTGTTTACATGTGTTGTGTTTGTGCGCTTTTTTGGAAATTTATTTTTGAGGCACAGGAAACTTATGGGCAAGTTTTTCTAATTGGAATTATTTGGTAATTATATCGATCATTTTGTTATGTTGCTTTTTTTCTCTTGATTACATCTTTTGATATTATTAATTTATATTTATGTGAACTACTTAAGTAATAATGTAATGTTATTAAATAATATTTGATATTTATACTAAATATTTGATGTTTATATACTTTATATTGTAATATAAATATATTTTTTTTCGTTAATTGATTTTCTTCAAAAATAATAATACTTATAAATCTTAATTGATCGTTCGTAGTTTCATACAGAATTGATCTATCTTCAGTAAATTGTTATATTTACAAAAATAAAAAAATAAAAAAAAATTACATATTAGGACCAAAACATGCATACTGTAATTTAATAAGTACTAAATTATAAATCTATTTATACCTAGATATCTAAAATAGTATTTCTAATAAAAATACTAGTTAGTTACTGCAAGTTATGTTTCAAGTAAAAGCGCTAGTAACTGTTCCAGTAATTAAAGATGATTAAGTAAGAAACCATTAACCAATAAGAAAATCTAGTCACTATATCTATTTGACGTTTACGTTCCTATTTGCATGTCTCCAAAAAAAAAATAAAAAAAATGAAAATAAATTAATTAACATTTCAATAACAATGTTAATATTGATAAACATTGTTTGGAAATGTACCGTCATCAATAAATGATAAAGTTGCGAACAACAAAATAATGGTAGAGTCGCGGAATTAACGCTCCTATTGTGTTAGTACAATAATCCGCTATCTAGGCCAGCCTCAGTGCTGCAGACGAACCTTTTGTCTTTCATGTTCGCCGTTAATAATGGCGGGCACCGAAACAGCCGCGTACAATACCGCGAAATGTGCGCGTTTTCATTTGCAAGACAAAACGCGCTTTGTTGTGTGTCCGCTCAATACTAAATTTATAGCGGGTGGACCGAGAGCCGTATTGACGGTCCGCTAACGAACGACCAAACACCATAAATGCATTTTGATCGGGCACATGCAGCGTAAATCACGAGCGGCGGCGGCGCGGCAATTGTTTGTAATCATACATTTTTCTCTACTTTGTCAACCGTTTAACCTTCACATTATTCTAGAATATGAAAGTTTCATTATCATCACTTCAAATGCATTATGATCAGAAATATTTGCAGCGCAAGTCATGAGCGCCAGCGATGCGGTCGTTATTGTATACAATTGTAATTTTTCTTTACATTGGCATACGTTTAACTTTTATTCAATAAAGTGAAAAATTTCATTATTATGATCATAAACGTATTTTGATTTGAGTGCATACTTGTTTGTTTACGGCCGAAACTTTTTTTTATTTTAGCCACGACGCAGCTGAAGTACGTAAAACGCCGTATTACATAAAAAACGTAGAGTTTTTTTATGTAATACAAAACTTCATGAATATGTGCTTAAAGTCGCAGAGCTCTAAAAATGAAAGCTTTATATAAAGAGATAAGAGTTAGTCGTTTTCAATGTGTCATTGTGTTTTTGTTTTTGAAACCAAATTTCTTCGGAAATCATGTCTAGGTACTCCAGAACACTCTGGTAAAAGAATAAAAATTATATTAATTTCACCATGGATTTAATGTAATTTATTTCTATACTAATAATATAAAGAGAAGATTTAATTTTTTTTATACATTTGATTGTAATGGATAAACTTAAAAATTACTTCGCATGATTAAAAAAATATTGTTAAAAATTTATAAATCCTTTCACCTAAAGAAAGCTCATTTTTATCAGCGAATAAAAAAATTATATGCTGTAATTTATTTATAAAAAACCGTTTGAAGCCGGAGCGGGCCGCTTTCTTTATTTATAAGTTAGGTCATAAATTTATTTCTAATAGGCAGTCGTAACTATGATCTTTCAAATATTAATCATTTGTAGGTAATTTTTATGACACTTTTATTTAAGTATACGCTTGAAAGTTGGATTTGTGACATGGGCATGCTCAATGTCTATGTAATGGCTTGTAAAAATTTCTATATAATTGGAATAATTGGAATCCGAGGAAAAGAACTAACCAGAATAATATTGACTTAATTTAGTCGTACAGTACACTAACTTATGTGGTTTATTGGTTAGAACAGATCAAAGAGATCAAAGGACAACAATTCTTCGACGACAGACGGCGACCGCCGACACCGAAAAACCCATACGAAGGTACACTTGAGGCCCAAAGAGGTCGTCACAAAGGCGTCGTAATTGGCCCGTTCTTTTTACTTCCCTGAAGCATTCAAAGCCAATGAAACGTGTGCATTTAAATGACGTGCCGCAGCTTTGTGGGGTCACACTAAAGTTCGTGAAACCGCCAGTCTACTTTTGTTAGGGGCTACTAAAGAACCTGCTTCTTAAGAACTCATTAGTCATGCTTATTTCGTGTAATAGTGCAATGTTACTGTATTAGTAGCTGTAGGTAGTGATACGGTTACGTAGTAAGAATAATGTAGTTGGACGCTTCAACTATTTTTAGGCTATATGTCACTTTACCTCATTTGGCTTCTAAATACAATAAAAGCTAACTTGTACATATTTTCGTATTTTTGTTTTCATCTGTGTGTATTTTTTTTAGTGGATGATAATAAAGTGACAAACCTCACCTGTGCTATTGTTATACTGGCTGAACAACGGTGATGGATGATAGGTGAGGATAAAAGCAAGTTAGTTGGTCCATTGTGATGAAAACATAAAGTATCAACTACGTTGGTTTCCAGAGAGTACCGCGTAAAGGTCAACCTGATAGGTTTTATTGCTAGCAATGAGGACGCTACTTCTCATTAGTAACAATAGCTTACCCCTATCGTATGCGTATATTTGATTATTGACGTGTATGTACGTAGTATGATATAATACCTTCATTAATTATTGACAAAACTTGGATTCCCGTTATATATTTTTTTGTCTTTCAATATATTATAACTTCAAAGATCATCAATATTATTATAACTTCAATAAAAAAAACATATATTGTTATAATAGTTAATAATTCCCTAGTTATTGTTAATGACATAAATAATTGCAAGTTTGCTTAATTTTGACACCATAAGGATGTTTAGGTTTTAGTAAATTAATATAAATATTATCGTATAATTATTGTAAAAAAGCTGCATATTACAATATTCCATGTTAGTATTCTAATTTCTAATAATATTAGATGGTGCCCTCTGTTCTACAGACGTGGTGTGTGTGTGTGTGTGTGTGTGTGTGTGTGTGTGTGTGTGTGTGTGTGTGTGTGTGTGTGTGTGTGTGTGTGTGTGTGTGTGTGTGTGTGTGTGTGTGTTGTCCCTTTGGTATAAAATTTTCAAAAATGCTGTCCTAGCAGATGCTTATATTATAAAACAAATCTTTGTTCCAAATATCAGTTATTTATACTTAGTAGTTTTGACAGTGAGTTAGTAATCAATCAGGATAAAGGATTTTATAAGTATTAGATTAGAGTGTATTGTCTAATTTTCAAGATCAACCTGAGACATTTGACCTTTTTCCTCTAAAACTTTCAAACACACAATTCGATTTAAAAAGAGACTCCCTCCCTCGCACGCACCACAAAACATACTTACATAACTACACATCCCTCCTTTCTCCTATTGAATCGACTCCTCCACCCACTCCATTCATTCTTTACAGCTTTTGTAGAAACGCTCAGGCTTTTTGTAACAATGCCGTCCGATGTGAATAGTAACTGTCGAAATATTGTTAAACATGATGTCATCTTGTAGACATTGGCTTATTTTTAGTAGTAAAAGACTGTTTTTCTAAAATTAATAAGTGTCACTCTTACGTATTAGGACAAATTATATATTTATAATATCCCTATGCTATATATACGTAATAGGTGAAATCTAATTCTGATCTGATGGAAAGATCTGAATATTTTGTCTTTTTTGACCTATTATTTTAGGAACATATTCGGATTTATAATTATTTTATCATCAACACTGTATATGTTTGGAATGGGGACTTAGTCAAAGTTCGTATAGGGAGGGCAACGAATGAGGGATACCATAGGCGTTGCAGCACATCGTAACTGTTTAGGTTGGTATATCATTTCCATTATGAGCCGTCACATTGTTCGTTATTCCAAAAATAATTTCCGTATCGACATCCACAAAAATTCACAGCTTAATTACGTAACTTTGCGATTATGTTGTATCTTCCATCGATAATATACATAAAAGTCGAGTATTAAAGTAAACAATGGTTAGGTACCAACTTGACGAGGGGGTAGGGGGGCTGGGCGATCGGTATTTGGTGCTCGCATTGTCGTTGAATAACTTTTGTCCCTATTGTGTTGCTGAAAGTAGAGCCACAAAGACTCCGCGGCGTGGAACATAAACCGAAATTCATCAGAGCGCCGATTGTTCGTCTTCTAATGGTGTTTGAAGCTAGATTTCGACGTATATTTTCTTTTAGCACCCTCTGATATTTTTGGGTTTCCATTTGTTAGTAGAACTGCAAAGTTAATTAGTTTCCGACTGTGGTTTTCGTTGTTTAAAACTGTCGATTCGAACGACGGTTTGAAATGACAATTTCGTAGAATGGTGGCTATTTTACTAAAAATTCTAATGATAAAAAGAATTCATAACTTCAAACTGGCAAAAAACTAATGGCCCATCATATCAAGGCCCACAACAATGTACATACACATCAACCTCACAGTATTGTACATCATACAACAGCTCTGCGTCTCGCTTAGGGTAACCTAGGATAGGATAGGATGTCTCGCTATTCCTGAAGACTATTTTTATTAATCGCCTGAGATAATTGTCCCTGATTAAAATTTTCATTGTTTTCCCAACGTAAAAGTCTTTTGACATTGTCCAACGAAAGACAGCCCTCGGCGCACAAATTAATCCGGTTGTAAAATAATATACTTGTGTTTAACAAAACAAAAACTGACTACAAAAACAGTGTATTTCCTTTAAAAATTAAACTATTGAAGCGATTATGATAAAATTTATACGAGACCAATATGTAAATATATTCTTTCAGATAAAAAAAGAATTTTTAAATC